AGTAGCTATTACAGTGAAGAAAATACCAAGCTATTGTTTGAGGAGAGTGCACAACAACCAAAATCGTATCACTGTAACTGGATTGATACATTCACCTCTTAAGGTAAATAATGTACTTACATTCAGTAATCTTGCTCTGATTTGTCATCCTAAGGGTCCCAGAGATAAAATGTAGCATAGTTTTGTTTGATAAAATCCATTTTTATATTCAAATATAGGAACTGGGTACTACAGTTTGAACCCCTGCTGTCTCTGGTTCCACACCCACCCCGCCCGGCCATCTAGATGTGTGAAAGTTAGTGTATAAACTAATGATCCATCATGTATGACATTCCTGGGAGTGTGTAAACGTACATTTTGTATTACCATATCATTTTTGTATGTTCTCTATAGTTATGTACTTGAAAATGTATCAATTGACCAATTGTCGACTGGTGAACTGGAACAAATTAATTGAACGGAAAAGCTCAGCATTGTCCACACATTGTTGCATTATTAACGGTGTGCCAACTAGCTGTAGAGTAGTGAAAGTTATTCTTCTCATTTTATCCGGGGTCACATCCAATTATGCTTTTTCATCTTGAGGTGTGAGAACGGTCTCAGAGATTCCAAATAAATATTGGACCTGACAGTTCTAGACACACACACGGTCCTCATTTACTGAGACACTCTCTTAATTAGAAGCTCATGATGTGACCCGATCAGTCATTCCGACTTGTTCTAACTGGCAAAAAGGGGAGGGGACATTTTTCACTGTGACACCCAAGATATAATAGTACTCAATGATTTTGTTTTTGTAACTGCATAGTGCTGCTCCGTTGCTTACTTAGGGTTTTTGTTCTAAAGAGTACAAACACACATAACAGAATACAATAAAATACAGAATAAAAACAGAATACAATGAAAGTACAAATATTATGTTAAATATTCATATTTACAAGTGCAAAGGACCTCAATGTCCATGCCTGCTTGAGGAAAAACATTTCAAAGAAAAAAACAGACACTTCTGGAGTACATTGGAAGAGAGAAGAAAATCATTCCTTACGATTTAAAAACCAACCCATTTCAGTATAACAACCTTCATCAGGCTGTTGAAATAATCTACAACTCAAAGTCTCATAATGGAGCGCCAGTCTTCAGCACATCTCAGGTGTGTGCGAGATTTCACATCCATACTCTGCCCCCACTAACCGCCACTGATCTCTGTACTTACATATCTGGATTCAGTGTAGTGCTGTGGGTTGGTATATGCTGTAACTGTCTACTAGATGTAGTGTAAAAAGGACTCTGTTTACCCTTACCTTATCTAAAAAAAATCCATCGTTTCATTATGAAGGTTGACTTGACCGAAAGGTCATTAAATACATGAATTGTTGAGTGAAATGTGTGTGGGAGTAATTTGTATCACTGATAACTGAGAGATACATGCACTATATATACAAAAGTATGTAGACACCCCTTCAAATTAGTGGATTCAGCTATTTCAACTACACCAGTTGCTGACATGTGTATTAAATTGAGCACACAACCATGCAATCTCCATAGACAAACATTGGCAGTAGAATTGCCTTACTGAAGAGCTCAGTGATTTTCAACGTTGCACTATAATAAGATGCCACCTTTCCAACAAGTCAGTTTGTCAAATTTCTGCCTTGCTAGAGCTGCCCCGGTCAACTGTACAGTTGAAGTCGGAAGTTTACATACAGTGAGGGAAAAAAGTATTTGATCCCCTGCTGATTTTGTACGTTTGCCCACAAAGAAATTATCAGTCTATCATTTTAATGGTAGGTTTATTTGAACAGTGAGAGACAGAATAACAACCAAAAAATCCAGAAAAAGGCATGTAAAAAATGTTATAAATTGATTTGCATTTTAATGAGGGAAATAAGTATTTGACCCCCTCTCAATCAGAAAGATTTCTTGCTCCCAGGTGTCTTTTTACAGGTTAACGAGTTGAGATTATGAGCACACTCTTAATGGGAGTGCTCCTAATCTCAGCTTGTTACCTGTATAAAAAGATACCTGTCCACAGAAGCAATCAATCAATCAGATTCCAAACTCTCCACCATGGCCAAGACCAAAGAGCTCTCCAAGGATGTCAGGGACAAGATTGTAGACCTACACAAGGCTGGAAAGGGCTACAAGACCATCGCCAAGCAGCTTGGTGAGAAGGTGACAACAGTTGGTGCGATTATTCACAAATGGAAGAAACACAAAAGAACTGTCAATCTCCCTCGGCCCGGGGCTCCATGCAAGATCTCAACTCGTGGAGTTGAGAATGGTGAGGAATCAGCCCAGAACTACACGGGAGGATCTTGTCAATGATCTCAAGGCAGCTGGGACCATAGTCACCAAGAAAACAATTGGTAACACACTACGCCGTGAAGGACTGAAATCCTGCAGCGCCCGCAAGGTCCCCCTGCTCAAGAAAGCACATATACAGGGCCATCTGAAGTTTGCCAATGAACATCTGAATGATTCAGAGGAGAACTGGGTGAAAGTGTTGTGGTCAGATGAGACCAAAATCGAGATATTTGGCATCAACTCAACTCGCCGTGTTTGGAGGAGGAGGAATGCTGCCTATGACCCCAAGAACACCATCCCCACTGTCAAACATGGAGGTGGAAACATTATGCTTTGGGGGTGTTTTTCTGCTAAGGGGACAGGACAACTTCACCGCATCAAAGGGACGATGGACAGCGCCATGTACCGTCAAATCTTGGGTGAGAACCTCCTTCCCGCAGCCAGGGCATTGAAAATGGGTCGTGGATGGGTATTCCAGCATGACAATGACCCAAAACACACGGCCAAGGCAACAAAGGAGTGGCTCAAGAAGAAGTGGCCTAGCCAGTCTCCAGACCTTAATCATATAGAAAATCTGTGGAGGGAGCTGAAGGTTCGAGTTGCCAAACGTCAGCCTCGAAACCTCAATTACTTGGAGAAGATCTGCAAAGAGGAGTGGGACAAAATCTCTCCTGAGATGTGTGCAAACCTGGTGGCCAACAACAAGAAACGTCTGACCTCTGTGTTTGCCAACAAGGGATTTGCCACCAAGTACTACGTCATGTTTTGCATGGGGGTCAAATACTTATTTCCCTCATTAAAATCCAAATCAATTTATAACATTTTTGACATGCGTTTTTCTGGATTTTGTTGTTGTTATTCTGTCTCTCACTGTTCAAATAAACCTACCATTAAAATTATAGACTGATCATGTCTTTGTCAGTGGGCAAACGTACAAAATCAGCAGGGGATCAAATACTTTTTTTCCCTTACTGTACACCTTTCCTGACATTTAATCCTAGTAAAAATTCCCTTTCTTATTTCAGTTAGGATCACCACTTTATTTTAAGAATAATAGTAGAGAGAATTATTTATTTTTGCTTTTATTTCTTTCATCACATTCCCAGTGGGTCAATTAGTATTTGGTAGCATTGCCTTTAAATTGTTTAACTTGGGTCAAACATTTCGGGTAGCCTTCCACAAGCTTCCCACAATAAGTTGGGTGAATTTTGGCCCATTCCTCCTGACAGAGCTGGAGTAACTGAGTCAGGTTTGTAGGCCTCCTTGCTCGCACACGCTTTTTCAGTTCTGCCCAAACAACGGCTCAGCCGCGAAGTGGTAGGCCGCACAAGCTCACAGAACGGGACCACCGAGTGCTGAAGCGCGTTGCATGTAAAAATAGTCTGTCCTCGGTTGCAACTCTCACTACCGAGTTCCAAACTGCCTCTGGAAACAATGTCAGCACAAGAACTGTTCATCGGGAGCTTCATGAAATGGGTTTTCATGGCCGAGCAGCCGCACACAAGCCTAAGATCACCATGCGCAGTACCAAGCGTCGGCTGGAGCGATGAATCACGCATCACCATCTGGCAGTCCGACAGACTAATCTGGGTTTGGCGAATGCCAGGAGAACGCTACCTGCCCCAATGCATAGTGCCAACTGTAAAGTTTGGTTGAGGAGGAATAATGGTCTGGGGTTGTTTTTCATGGTTCGCGCTAGGCCCCGTAGTTCCAGTGAAGGGAAATCTTAATTCTACAGCACACAATGACATTCTTTATGAATCTGTGCTTCCATCTTTGTGGCAACAGTTTGGGGAAGGCTCTTTCCTGTTTCAGCATGACAATGCCCCCGTGCACAAAGCGAGGTCCATACAGAAATGGTTTGTCGAGATCGGTGTGGAAGAACTTGACTGGCCTGCACAGAGCCCTGACCTCAACCCCATTGAACACCTTTGGGATGAATTGTAACTCCGACTGCGAGCCTGGCCTAATCGCCCGACATTAGTGCCCGACCTCACTAATGCTCTTGTGGCTGAATGGAAGCAAGTCCCCGCAGCAATGTTCCAACATTTAGTGGAATGCCTTCCCAGAAGAGTGGAGGCTGTTATAGAAGAAAAAGGGGGACCAGCTTCATATTAATGCCCATGATTTTGGAATGAGATGTTCGATGAGCAGGTGTCCATATACTTTTCGCCATGTAGTGTATGTGGTGGTGGTGGTGGTGGTCAGGCATGTTAACTTTGATAATGACTCTGAGAATACAGAATAGCTACTGAGGCAGAACTGGAATTCCACTGTCTGCAATTACTGAACGACGGGGAGCAGGAGAGGAATTTGGGGTGGAAGAGAGAAAGGGGGGCGAGGTGAAAGAGAGCGAGGTTGAAAAGGAGGGGTAAGGAGGTGTGAAATCATATCTGAACCACAGGAGGAGGCCTTGGTCTGCCCACACACTTTCTGACTCATAATACTCTGTGTGTGTGTGTGTTTGTGTGTGTGTGTGTGTGTGTGTGTGTGTGTGTGTGTGTGTGTGTGTGTGTGTGTGTGTGTGTGTGTGTGTGTGTGTGTGTGTGTGTGTGTGTGTGTGTGTGTGTGTGTGTGTGTGTGTGTGTGTGTGTGTGTGTGTGTGTGTGTGTGTGTGTGTGTGTGTGTGTGCGTGCATGCGTGTGCGTGTGCGTGATGGTGAATGTGTATCTTTGCCAAAGTAAGCATGAACACAATGTTTTTATCCGTTTACTTTATTCTAAAAGAAACAGACAGGAGTATACTTTAAATGAGATGATACATACAGTCAAATAATAATAGTGAGTTTTAGATAAAGAAAATACATGGTAAATAAATGTATGCAACAGAAAAACACGTTTGACCTGATTACATTCCGCAAACTGGCCAATACTAAGTGCAGGACCTGTACAGGAGACAGTGCTTTCAGCACGTGGAGTACAGAACATCCTCCATAGTCAATAACAAAACATCTCTTCCATCCACTCTAAATCATATTGGCACTTAACTAAACAGAATGCATGTATAATATCCTCAATCCGGGCTACATGTACTACTTCCAAACAGGCTCACAGCATTTACAAGGTGTGCCTTCACGCTCATCAGTTAGGGCCGATTTAGGAATTTGTCTTTCTGTTGTTTTTTAAGTGGTATACTAGCTACAGTACAGTAAACATCTATGTTCCGAGATAAAACTGCATGTAGCAGTTTGTCTGAATGGTTCATTTAATGCAAGAGAAAAAGACGAGCACGGATATGTTTTACAATACGTGAACAATATGCATCATCCATATAGGATGTGACACTGCGGAATCCGTGTATAACAGTCAAAAACATACACACAAACACACGTTATAAGGCACTGCAGTAGAGCATATATGTAGCAGAAAGGCTGGAGGTGGTGGTATATGCACCTGGGCACTTCTGTGTAGTAGTACAGATTCAGGTTCACTTTCTTTCAATTATCCAAATAACAGTTCTTTGTCATAGGTGAGTACGGACAATACCTGTGCATATTGCTGTAACAAAATCCTGCTATAGTAAAACCCTTTAATATCGCTTCTGTACAAAACAGATTCTAAAAAACATTAATAAACATTTAACACATGGGCACCTTTAAGAATTATAAAATACTAGCTACCCATTAGGGTTGGTCTGGAGATGTATTACTTCAAACGTGTATTCTGAGTTTATTTTGTTACATTCTGAGAGTGTGTTTCCTATAGAGTGTCTTGTCTGCTTTTGTTTTCTTAGAGAAAGTGTCTTGTCTGTTTGTGTTAGACAGTGTCTTGCCTTTTGCCAACAATCTAACACACGTGGGGCCAAAGGAGTCGCCCAAACTACAAGTATTCCTCCTTTTTCTCTGGTGGGGAACTTTTAACATTTGGTCTGCAATTTAAAAGAAAACAACATGTTTCAGTAAATGTACACTTGTATTCTCAGAGAACAAAACCAATAGGCACATTTCTACAAACCCAGAAATCATAAGATATCAGTGAAGCAGAAATCAACAAAACATGACACGACAAGTCTTACTCATACAGTTAAAGTTCAGTAAATAAAAGATAAAAGGACATAATGGAGTTTCTAGTAAAGGGGTTCACAGGATGAAATACAGTAATGCCGCCCCTCTAGTCTTAAAGGGGGGGGGGGGTCTAACCACCTAACCATACTTCTCCTTTCAGAGTCCATATTTACAAACAAGCTCAAGGGGGTGGGGGAAAGGGGAGTGGCAAGCTCTTAAAGGTGTGGCGGACATTTTGTTGACCCATAACTTAATATCAGAGACTGATAAGGTGCAGACATTTAGGAAGGGGGTGTGGGGTTGGTGGGGGAGGGATGTAGAGGGGGATGGGGAGCGACATATGCTATAGCGGAGAGACAAGGGTCCAAATTTGGAATCTAGGAAGGAACAGGGAAAGGGGAAACAGTGAACTCGGACAGTCCTCGAAAAAAGGCAGGGGGTGGTCAGTCAGGGAAACTAGTCTCACTCAACAACTCTGCCCTGAATTAGGGAAGAGAAGAAGACAGGCAGAGAAGAACAGCATTAGAGGAGAGGAGACGAGAGGAGAGAGAGAGACACATCAAGAACTCACTGATTCATCATTACATGGTGTTAGTGAGTGAATGAGTGCTTGATGCTACATGCTAGGTAATGAAGAATGAAAAGAATTGCTAGCCAGGCTTTCGCTAGCTCTGTGGTTAATGAGTGAAGATGGTTGATTCTAGGTGCTCATGCAGTGTTTTTGAAAGAGAAAGCTTGTTGGTGCTAAATGAAGCATTGGAGGATTAATGATGGAGAGGTTAGTGGAAGCTCATTAGTCACAGCACACAGATCATTTGTTATGTCATGTGTTCTATGGCATGGAATAGATCTGATATGATGTCTGAATCTGTTGGGTTTATGATGGTTGTTTTTGTTTTGTTTTGTTTGGAACCAGTTTGGTTGTGTTGGAACCAGAATCTTGTTATTTGACAGCTAGTATCTCTTACATTAATGTTGATACAGTGCATTCAGAAAGTATTCAGACCCGTTGCCTTTTTTGACATTTTGTTACGTTACAGCCTTATTCTAAAACTGATTAAATAGTTTTTTCCCCCCTCATCAATCTACACACAATACCCCATAATGACAAAGCAAAAACAGGTTTTTAGAAATGTTTGCTAATTTATAAAAATGTCACAACTGAAATATTACATTTACATAAGTATTCAGACCATTTACTCAGTACTTTGTTGAAGCACCTTTGGCAGCGATTACAGCCTCGAGTCTTCTTGGATATGACGCTACAAGCTTGGCACACCTGTATTTGGCATTCTTCTCTGCAGATCCTCTCAAGCTATGTCAGGTTGGATGGGGAGCGTTGCTGCACAGCTATTTTCAGGTCTCTCCAGAGATCGGGTTCAAGTCCTGGCTCTGGCTGGGCCACTCAAGGACATTCAGAAACTTGTCCCAAAGCCACTTCTGCATTGTCTTGGCTGTGTGCTTAGGGTCGTTGTTCAGTTGGAAGGTGAACATTCACCCCAGTCTGAGGTCCTGTGCGCTCTAGAGTAGGTTTTCATCAAGGATCTCTCTGTACTTTGCTCCATTCAGCTTTCCCTCGATCCTGAATAATCTCCCAGTCCCTGCCGCTGAAAAACATCCCCACAGCATGATGCTGCCACCACCATGCTTCACCGTAGGGATGGTGCCAGGTTTCCTCCAGACATGACGCTTGGCATTCAGGCCAAAGAGTTCAATCTTGGTTTCCTCAGACCAGAGAATGTTGTTTCTCATGGTCTGAGAGTCCTTTAGGTGCCTTTTGGCAAACTCTAAGTGGGCTGTCATGTGCCTTTTACTGAGGAGTGGCTTCCATCTGGCCACTCTACCATAAGGCCTGATTGGTGGGGTGCTGCAGGGATGGTTGTCCTTCTGGAAGGTTCTCCCATCTCTACAGAGGAACTCTGGAGCTCTGTCAGATAGACCATCGGGTTCTTGGTTACCTCCCTGACCAAGGCCCTTCTCCCCCGATTGCTCAGTTTGGCCAGGTGGCCAGCTCTAGGAAGAGTCTTGATGGTTCCAAACTTCTTCCATTTAAGAATGATGGAGGCCACAGTGTTCTTGGGGACCTTCAATGCTGCAGACATTTTTTGGTATCCTTCCCCAGATCTGTGCCTCGACACAATCCTGTCTCGGAGCTCTACGGACAATTCCTTCGAACTCATGGCTTGGTTTTTGCTCTGACGTGCACTGTCAACTGTGGGACCTTATATAGACAGGTGTGCCTTTCCAAATAATGTCCAATCAATTGAATTTACCACAGGTGGACTCCAATCAAGTTGTAGAAACATCTCAAGGATGAACAATGGAAAAATTATGCACCTGAGCTCAATTTCGAGTCTCATAGCAAAGGGTCTGACTACTTAGGTATTTCTGTATTTTATTTTTAACAAATTTGCAGAAATGTCTAAAAACCTGTTTTCACTTTGTCCTTATGGCGTATTGTGTGTAAAATGATGAGGAACATTTTGTATTTAATACATTTTAAAATAAGGCTGTAACGTAACAAAATGTGGAAAAAGTCAAGGGGTCTGAATACTGTATGCACTGTATATACTTATTCACTTGAGGCACACAGTAACAGTGAGAGAGTAGTACTTTGGGGTGGAGGTCTTAAAAATAAGAACTTTTCTGGAAAATATTGTTGGTGGTGGTTCAACATTGTATTGCTTATTTTGAAGACGCTTAAACATTCTGTATATAAAAGCAATATAAATAATTAAAAGTCCTGGTCAATAAACTAGCGTAGTACATGTGTTTCACATCAGTTAGGCCTACCTTAGGTACACACATAAAGTTTTGAAAAATGTTCTTCAAATATTTAATTCTATTATCTTTGGAGTGGGCTTTTAGGTAGTTTGGTCACGTTTGTCATTTGGTAATGACTCTTAGAGGACATCTCCTGAAGACGGGCTCATAATGGTTTTAGCAGAAGTGGAGGAGGTCCTTCAAGACTTGTGTACCCCCATTCTGAGTACAATGGAACACTCCATACACTAAGGCTTTACCAAGAAGAGGGGCCAAACAACCAGAAAACGGAGGGCATTGAACGGTTCTTAGAAAAGTTAAATGGTTCTGTTATCGAAAGCATGATGAACCAGCCCTTTCACCCAAATGAATGGATTTTGAAGAGCCATGATAAAGAATCACGAGTATTGGGTTATGGATTGAAGCAGAGAAATGTGTAGAGGCTTAGTGAATGACTGAAAGTACAGTATATTGTAGATGCCTTACGTTACTTATTAGCATCAGAATATAAAACATTTTCTTCCAGAATAAATACAACAAATCTAACAGAACTGCCCAAAAAGTAACTTGATATCACATTGACCATAGCTACTTGTCTTTAGCTATTGTGATCATAACTGGCTTTTACAGTAGCATATCATTTCTGTATACTTTCAATTCAGGTGGCTAGATGGACATAGAATGGTTTTTAGTAGCATAGAATAGAGTAGTATAAAATATAACTTAAATGTCCATTGAAAATGAAAGTTTTCTTTATGAGTGTTTGTCTATAGAGCACCAGAATAATAAACCCATGAGTTTAACTGAATCTGTGGGTTTTTATAACAGTGGGTTTTTATAAGAGGTCAGCCAGTGGTCCTTACCCTATGCAGTCTCTGAGGTATATAACATGTGGATGATGGGTATTGTGTCGACTTGGATGTGTTAACGAATGGAGCATGATGTTAAGGCATATAATAATGGGCATCCCTCTCTCGTTAAAACAACATTTATATTAGCTCACAACATATTCTACCCTTTTCTCTACATCTGATTCAAACTGATGAATAACTTTGTGGGAACTGATTTCAGGTCAGCCCTTTATATAATGTCATCAACTACATCCGATTGGAATGTTGAAGTGTTAAAAGACACAACGCAACACACACATCCACACAGCTCCAACCAGGAAGAATAGGACATGCTAACCAAGCCAAGAAAATACAAAACTGTACTTTCTTTGTATTTGTTTTGTTGATCATATTTGTTCCACAATTTACATTTAGGCATTATCTATGCCTCCTCTACTGTCTGTTATAAAGACAAACGTACAGTGTACGTTTAATAATGTTTAAGTAAGGGATAATCAACGAGGGGCTATGCATTCTATGGAAAATAATGAACGACGCGATAGCGGAGTGGAGCTGACCTTCCACGGAGTTGCATTATTTACCAGAGAACGCATAGAGCCCCGAGTTGATTATCCCTTTTATACTATGGCTATAATTTAACACATTTTCCACTAGAAATGTGTTCATTTGCTGGTAGAAATGTGTTCAACATCCATTGAAGTAGCTAGCAAGTTTACTAGATAGCAGTAGTTGCTGTGGTAACCAAACAAACAGACTTGTTAGTTTAGCTAACCAAACCATCATTCTAGCTTGCTATTATAAAAATCGAATTCAACAATACCAAAACATTTTCAATTCGACTTTTGCTTTCAAAAGCAGGTCAAATAAAATATGTAAAAATGAACTACAGCCATTGAATTCTACTGTGCAAATATACCGTATGTTATAGGGAAATAATGCACGCTCTAGATTCCCCTTCAAGCCAATCAGAAAGGAGTATTCAACAATGCTATGGTATAATGTCTTTTAAGCCAGATGACAGATTTTATTCACATAAAATGCTTAAAAGGTTCATTGAGCAAGATCACCATCCTGTCAATGACATGTACAGTGGCTTGCGAAGGTATTCACCCCCCTTGGCATTCTTCCTATTTTGTTGCCTTACAACCTGGAATTAAAATTGATTTTTTGGGGGTTTGTATCATTTGATTTACACAACATGCCTACCACTTTGAAGATGCAAAATATGTTTTATTGTGAAACAAACAAGAAATAAGACAAGAAAACAGAAAACTTGAGCGTGCATAACTATTCACCCCCCCAAAGTCAATACTTTGTAGAGCCACCTTTTGCAGCAATTACAGCTGCAAGTCTCTTGGGGTATGTCTCTATAAGCTTGGCACATCTAGCCACTGGGAAAACTGCTCCAGCTCCTTCAAGTTTGATTGGTTCCGCTGGTGTACAACAAGCTTTAAGTCATACCACAGATTCTCAATTGGATTGAGGTCTGGGCTTTGACTAGGCCATTCCAAGACATTTAAATGTTTGGAATTTGCTCCCAAGGATGAACCAGACTTGTGGAGGTCTACAATTTATTTGGCTGATTTCTTTTGATTTTCCCATGATGTCAAGCAAAGAGGCACTGAGTTTGAAGGTAGGCCTTGAAATACATCCACAGGTACACCTCCAATTGACTCAAATGATGTCAATTAGCCTATCAGAAGCTTCTAAAGCCATGACATAATTTTTTGGAATTTTCCAAGCTGTTTAAAGGCACAGTCAATTTAGTGTATGTAAACTTCTGACCCACTGGAATTGTGATACAGTGAATTATAAGTGAAATAATCTGTCTGTAAACAATTGTTGGAAAAATTGCTTGTGTCATGCACAAAGTAGATGTCCTAACCAACTTGCCAAAACTATAGTTTGTTAATAAGACATTTGTGGAGTGGTTGAAAAACAAGTTTTAATGACTCCAACCTAAGTGTATGTAAACTTCCGACTTCAACTGTATATACTGAGATCATGTGACACTTAGATTACACACAGGTGGACTTTATTTAACTCATTATATGACTTCTGAAGGTAATTGGTTGCACCAGATCTTATTTAGGGGCTTCATAGCAAAGGGGGTGAATACATATGCACGCACCACTTTTCCGTTATTAATTTTTTTGAATTTTTTGAAACAAGTAATTTTTTTCATTTCACTTCACCAATTTGGACTATTATGTGTATGTCCATTACATGAAATCCAAATAAAAATCAATTTAAATTACAGGTTTTAATGCAACAAAAAAGGAAAAACGCCAAGGAGGATGAATACTTTTGCAAGGCACTGTATTGCAATAAAATATAAAAGTTTCCGCTCAATAATAAGTTCTATAGAATAAATAGCATCCGAATTCTTAAGGGTTTCTAAAATCCAAAGGATACTTGGTGGAGAATGTGTGCGTGTGTGTGCGTGCAAGTGTTTGTAAGTGTTACGCATCAATAAAAGGGAAAAGGGGGAGGAGCAAGGCGTGGCCTCTGCTCTCTGTTTGTGTGGCTGCTTGGAGGTGGGCGGGGTTTACACGTACTCCCTGGCTGTGGATGGCTGTGATTGGCGGTAGTACTGCTGCCCTCGCCTCTCCTCATTGGAGCAGGAGCAGCACAGGAAGGATCCGCCCAAAACCGTCAAGCTAGCTGCCGCCCATCCCACGAACAGGGCAGACCCAAACTCATACCTGCAGCGGAAATTGTAAAATCGGTCTTCAATATCGGTCTTTACAGTATTATAGACATGATATCTGTATTACACAGAGATTAACTGAGTGGTAGATACAGCGTGTGACCTGTGTGATAGGGTTACCTGGCATTGATCGGCGTGTTTGGGTTGAAGAACTGATAGGACACCTGAGTGGCGTACCAGGACACAGACACCATCGTGCACAGACCTGCAGAGACAGGGAGAGAGAGAGAGAGAGAGAGAGAGAGAGAGAGAGAGAGAGAGAGAGAGAGAGAGAGAGAGAGAGAGAGAGAGAGAGAGAGAGAGAGAGAGAGAGAGAGAGAGAGAGAATTATGACACTGAACAAGGAGGCTCATAGTTGTCTCTGAGGTCAGGGGAGCTTATCTGTCCAAAATCACCACTTCCTGTTTACAGCTGGGACCCTAATTACCCAGAAGACCCCTTGTGAGAGTCTTTTGCCAGAGGAATGCAAGAAATGAGCCCTGGAAGACTGGTTTCACTCCAATAGTAAAATAGTAAACACCATTGAATATAGAGAGATAACAACCTACTGGTAACTGCCAAAATAAAGGAAACACCAACATGAAGCGTTTCAATAGGGCTTTGGACCACCACGAGCCGCCAATGTGAACAGCTTCAATGCACCTTGGCATAGATTCTACAAGTTTCTGGAACTCTATTGGAGGGATGCGACTCCATTCTCCACGAGAAATTCCATAATTTGGTGTTTTGTTGATGGTGGTGGAAAACATTGTCTCAGGCGCCACTCCAGAATCTCCCATAAGTGTTCAATTGGGTTGAGATCTGGTGACTGAGATACACACACACACACACACACACCCTCTACACCCCCTATGCTCCTTTGAGACCCCTTTTTCAAAGTCACTGAGATCTCTTCTTCTAGCCATGGTAGCCAAAATAATGGGCAACTGGGCATTTCTATACATGACCCTAAGCATGATGAGCTGATAACTGCTTAATTAACTCAGGATCCACACCTGTGTGGAAGCACCTGCTTTCAATATACTTTGTATCCCTCATTTACTCGGGTGTTTCCTTTATTTTGGCAGTTACCTGTAATTGAGAGCACAACTCACTGTAGTGCCTGAACCTTAAACTTGGAGAGTGGTACTTTACCTGTATACATTTTCTAATAGCCTTTTAAGTTGTAAAATAGTTTAGGTGGTTAATAAATCAGCAAGCAGCACAGTATGGTGGTCACATGACTATAATTACAAGGTGGAAATCTGTCTTATCATGCAGGTGCCCACATACTTGTCCCAGAATTGTGTTTGTTTCTTTAATCACATGACAGTCACATGATGGTCACCTTGCAGAAATCTCACCTGCGAGCAGGAAGAGGGCTCCTCCAGACACAGCTATGCGTCCCTTGGAGATGGGGTTGTTGTCGCCTACTTTAGTGCACTTCATCCCCACCACACTCACTATCATTCCTATGAAGCCCAGCAGCACGGACACCACCATAAGAGCACGACACGTCTGGATGTGCACTGTGGAGAGAGAGGGGGGAGATGAGGACAGAGATGAGAGAAGAAAAAAGGTAGATGAAGGCAGAGAGGTGGAGAAAGAGGTTGGAGGGTGAGAGGAAAAAAGAGGAGAGGGGGGAAACATGAGGGGGTGAAAAGGAAGGGAGCAATGAGGGAGAATATAGAAGGTAGGATGATAGCAGGGAGGACAGATGGGGAGAAAGAGGAGAAAGAGGGTGAGGGGAATGATAGAAAGGAGGGACAAAAGAGGACAACAACAGAATGGGTCTGTTAGGGCAGTTGTACTTGGCTTCAGATGGAGATCAGAGAGAAGACATGGTACACACAGAATATTTACACACAGGGTATATTCATATAGAATATCTACACACAGGGTATATTCATATAGAATATCTACACACAGGGTATTTTCATACTGAATATCTACACACAGGGTATTTTCATACTGAATATCTACACACAGGGGTATTGAAGCTCTAGATTTCTCAGTATCAGAGGTTAAATTGGGGCAGAACGGGAGTGGAAGAAAGTTAATCCACATTAGGATAGAAGGTATTCAGTGGGATTTCTGTGCAAAGCATCACTGGAAAAGAAACCAACCAAAACTATACTACAACTACCACATTGTAAATCAAGATTAAATCAGAATTCAACTTCTTAACACAAAACTGGACACAAACAAAGACACACATTCTCCTTTCTTTGGCTCTTTTTTCTCCCTCTCTCTTTCTATCCACCTCTTTCTTTCTCTCTCTCTATCTCCCTATTGCTCTCTCTCTCTCTCTCTCTCTTTCGCTCTATCTTTCTCTCTCTCCCTATCTCTCTCTTAATGAACTCATTATGTTTCCCACTTCCATGTTCCAAAATGGGATAATAATGGCAGCCTTAGTCCAGAGTCTGACTTAACTGTCCCTCTTAATCATTCCAAATCACTTCACAGTGGTTTCACTGCTCAGAATTCCATGGATAACCCACACAGACATCAGTGCACACATAACTCAGTGGGCGGGACATTTAAAATATTTACACACACACACAAACACAAACACATAAACTTATAGATACAGTCTGTAGGAAGAAATGACATACACACATACACACAAACATAAACACTAATTTTCTGTCACACACACACACACTGTAGGAGGGCCTGTTTTACATGTTTCACACAGTGGGATTAGTGTGGCTTTGTCACAAAGCGGGATTGTTTTCACAGGGCTGTCGCCACCGCGATCAAACATGGTGGCCTGCAACACACACAGCAGCCTTGACAACAGAGACTAACACAATATGAAAAAAACACTGGTACAAGATTCATACTGCATTAATAGTCTCACCAAGACCTCACAACTGCAGATACTCACACCAACATCTAAAATCTATTCTAGCCTTTATCCAGTTTCACAGCTCAACATAAGATCAACTCTCTCTCACAACAAAATCCACATGCATGAACCACATGGTCACATATCTACACAGCAGACTAAATTACTATATATTATAGAATAGAATAGAATAGTAGAACTACATAGGAGAATGTAATACTGATACTGACAGTGTGAGCAAATTTACATCAAATATAACTGGAGAACAATTAGTCTGTCCAGCAAACTTAAGTACAGTAATAATCTTCATTTATGGTGGAAAAACACACTCATGCATTCATAGTTTGACAATAAATTACACCTCAGAACCTGATCTGAAAGGGGTAGTTATGGGCGGATGAGCTTTGAAGTTAGATTGATGTGTGGTAGGATCCGTTTGAAGGAGAACTGTAATGGTTTATGAGAGAAAGAGGTTTTGTTTTCTCTTTCTCCATTCTCCCTTTCATCCATTCCTTCCTTTAAAAGTGTGTGGGGAGTTTGGGCTGGCCCTACAGGGCACCACTCTGATCAACAGACTAACAGAGGAGTCAAGGGTGTGTGTGTGTGTGTGTGTGTGTGTGTGTGTGTGTGTGTGTGTGTGTGTGTGTGTGTGTGTGTGTGTGTGTGTGTGTGTGTGTGCGTATTCCTCCCACTATACTCTACCCCGTGCCAAGGCTGGTAGTGCCAAGCACAAGCTGGATGTGTGTGTGGATGTAGACGATGGACATTGTCCTTTGTGAGATAATTTGTGACTTCATACGTAACATTGGTTTGGCCACTTCACTAAAACAGAAAACTGTTCCAACAACTCTACCTTCATTGTATTCATGTAAATGTCAGTGTGACACATGCTTTGTGGAATACTGTGGTCTAAGCTCAGGGGTACTGATATGTGGATGATGATTGTCATGTGAGCCTTCAGCTTCAGAAGCATATTTTACATCTATAGCACCGAACGGCCAGTTGGCAAGAAACAGTTGGCAAGAAACAAAACCACACTCAATCACGATAGAGAGAGAGATGAGAGAGAGAGATCAATCACTATAGAGAGGTGGGGGGGGGGAGAGAGAGAGAGAGAGAGAGAGAGAGAGAGCGAGAGGGAGAGAGAGAGAGAGAGGGGGGAGAGGGAGAGGGAGAGGGAGAGGGAGAGAGAGAGAGAGAAGGTGAAAGAGAATGTGTGCCAGTACATAGCTGCTACTAACTCTACTGATGACCTCACAACAGCCAGCAGGGAAACTGGCAATGGGGACATGGTGTGATGGAAAGGGGGGACGTCAGACCATCCACCATTTCATCAGCATGTGTGGGCCGGGGGTCAGATATTCCACTGTAATATCCAGAGCTATAGAGAGTTCAGAAAACTATCCTCCATGTTGCCACCAATCATTCCTCAACAGTTCACGTCTTCCTAAAAAATACTTTAAATATCTTTGATACCAATATCCTACCCTGAGACTCTAAATATCCAACCATGCCAAAGTCTGTGTATTCATAAAGCTGTAGGAGAGAGTGCTCTATGGCTCGGACTCACTGCAGTACTTAACACTAAGCTGTCAAAAGAGAAAACTATCTTTGATCTTCACCTCAATGGGATCCCCCGTTCTTCAAACCTGGCAAAAACACTCACGTTACACTAGCACAGTAACCTAGCTATACGGTGGACCTGGATGTATTTGCTTCATATGTCACAGAGCCAGAGAGGGAGAGAGAGTTTGGCAGTTACTCTGTCATCCAAAAAGCATGATGTCACTGAGATGACATCACATGATTCCATGGCAGCCATTAGCATCTCCTGGAAAATCTTGACCCATAACAGCTCAGCAATCTCATCATGAATGGTTGAACAGAATGCTCAGAAGCAGCAATATGGCATCCATCTCTAAAGTTGGCCAAAATCTACCTATATTGTATTTTGACTCTGTTATGTTCTGTATAGCACCAGTGCTGGTGTGGTATTGTACACTGTCTAGTGCAGTACAGAGGTTTCATTCACTGTAGAGCCCAGAGAACTGAGAGCGTGGGTGGGTTGTGACCAATACCAGGCAGTATCTGCCTCAGAGACTGCAACAAGTAGAAGAAGAACTGTTCAGACTAGAATGAACAAGATTCCTCGGGACCTGTACTGTATGCACAGGGAGTAGTGTCCTTCTTTTTGTCATTCTAGTGTCCAGACCTTGTCATAAGTCTCCCAGAACAGCTTCGATATGTTTATGTTAATGTTGAAAATGAATTGCCTTTTTAAGGACAATTAATCTGAATCTGAAAAGTCCATCAGCTTCCACTGCAGTGCTTTGGTACACTCCAACACTCCAACAACACAGTCTGGTGAACAATTAGTCCTCATCACATGTTCCTCATGTGAAGGAGAAGGGTTCATTTAGCCCACTATAATAATGAAAACACCTGCAGGAACTGCCTAACAAACACACACACACCAGATGTTCAACTCCAGTACCCACGCTCGAACACACACACACACACACACACACACACGCATAAACACCTTGCATCCAAGACCAGTACTGAGCTTGACCTTACCATAACAGCGAGAGAGATTTGAGTTCACTCGACAGTGGAATAGAGTGAGTATGTGCCAAATGGTACAATTCTGTAGTATAATCTCTTAGCCTGGTTACCTGACCTACCCTCAGCAACATGCCTTGCTTGACAAGACAGCAACAAGTAGCAGAAACACAGGGTAAATTTATCAAGAGTTGGTAACAAAGTGTGTGATGCTGTTTGCTCACACTCGCTCATTGTCCACTCACACACGCACACACACACACACACACACACAGGGTGTGTTAGGGCCGGAGAGGGACAATGCGTGTGTGTGGGGAAGACAGAGCGCATTCTGAGAATTTCTCTGGTGTTTGGCTCAACACTGGGCTTTTCTTCTCCAAACAACCACTATTCATCACAGGGACAATACTCTGTTTTTATTACGCCGATGAGCCAAAGGAGATGCAAAATCCAGCTCACCCCTCGCAGAGAAAGCCACAGAAAATTTTTTTGATATAATTAATTGCACACTGACCAAACATTAGCAAATACCCGGTTTGTTGTTTTGGGGCGGTGTGCGTCACAGGGATTAACATGGGCATCCATGTTTCTTAATCAACCACAAAGAAAAACAGAAAACTCCAAAGGGCGACAACCATTGTTTGCCTGAATTACAGACAAATTATCTGACCATGTCCTCCCCCTGCAACCTTCTATTAATAATTCTGATGTAGTAATCAGTAGAAACAATAGACAGGTGAATTCATGTAAATTACCTGTCATAAAATATGAGTCAGTAGGTCTACGCTAAACAGGTTGGAGATGACAGGAGCCTCATATTCAGGGATAATTTATGCCTGAACCCCACATTCCTCTCTCCCCCCCCCCCCCCCCCCCCCTCTCTCTCTCTCTCTGTCACTCTTTCTCTCTCTCTTCTATTTCTTTTTCGCTACCTCTCCCTCTCACCCTCTCTCTCTCCCTCTTCCTCTTTCTCTCCCTCTTTCCCTACTTACCCCTCTGCCTCTCTTTCTCTCTCTATTTCCCTCTCCTTCTCCCCCTTCTCCCTCCATCTTTCTCTTAATTAAACATGTCAACAGCAGTATTTTTTTTCTGATTGATTTATCCCTGACTTTAATGTGTCCCAGACAGATGGATTAGTTAGATTGTTTTGTCATGTATGTATGCATTTAGTTGCTGAATCATACAATAAGTTAAATTGATAATAAGATCATGCTGTTACTAGATAAACACCCTCCATAAATCAACCCAGTTATTGGCCATTGTTGCATATTGGGTAAACAGATTGTTTATAAGAGAGGCAACAGCTTTAAGGCATCTCACAATGACCAACTCCACTGACAGATACATAACTGTCCATACACAGGCATCTAAGACTGCTCTGAATAACATTCTCATTCAAACATTCAAACTGTTGCAGTTAGAGAGAGAGAGAGAATGAGAGAATGCCAACAGCCGAAAAAGAAACAGGGAGAAAAGGAATGAGAGAGAGAGAAAGAGAGGATTTGTTCAATGATGTGAGAGGAAAAGATACAAAGTTTGAAGTTGAGTTAAAGATAGAAAGCGAGATAATGACAGGTTGCGATGTCCTACTCACCGTCCAGTGACAGCATGGAGTCAAACACCTTACACTGCACCTGTCCCGTACTCTGGGAGGCACAGCTCATCCACAGGCCCTCGTAGAGCCCCACGGCCGTGATGATGGCGTCACCCGCATACGAAGACTGCTTCCACTGGGGAAGCACAGTGGTGGAGATGATGCCTATCCATCCACCCAATGCCAGGAAGTAACCTAGCAACTGGAAACCCGAGTTCGCCATCCTGTCTTTTTGTCTATCTGTTTCCGTCTGTCTCTAGACTTGTTATTCTCTCTCTTACTCTGTGTTCTTCTGGTCTTTTCTGAAGTCTTTTTTATTTTATTTCTAAATGTAGACCTTTCTTTCCTTTCTATATATCTGTCCTATTTCTGTGCTCCTTCTCTTTGGTGAGTTTTTTGACCTCTTCAGAACACCTGTAGCAGTCGTGTAGCGCAGTGCTTCCACACAGAGGCAGTACTGTAGGCAGGACTTAACACAGAACTCTCTCTCAGAACTCCTGTTGTCTCTCAGATGAACCACAGAACCAAAAGTCAAACTCCACTTTACAAACCTTCCAGATTTCAATACAACCCCAGGCGTTCTGTCAGTGGTCGCTCTCCTTTCTCTCTCTTCCTATGGTCTCCTTCCTGGTCACTGTCCGGTCCCTCTGAGCATCTCCTTCTCTCTGCTCTCTCTCACACATCTGGTGGTCTACCCTCTCTTTCTCTCTCTTCCTCTTTTTCTCTCTCTCTTTCTCCAGTTGGAGGTATGTGTGTGTCCGGGTCTAGGGGTTGACCAGACTGCTGTTCCCTGGTTGTCCGGGGGGATCAGGTCGTCAGGCTCGGTCACTGGGCTCACTGGGCTGCCTCAGATACTGCATGGTTTCTCCTGACTCTCTCTCTCTCTATTTCTCTCACCAACAATCTCTCCGCATGCTCCGCACTCCGAGGGCTGAACGATGGATAAGAGAAAAAAATAGAAAAAGTTTATGCACACAAAAAGCCCCTGACAGGCTGGGCACAGAGGGGGCCAAGAGCTGAGCTCTGATTGGCTATTTCAGTGTTCTAGGAACACCCAATGGGAGGAGGAAAGGAGAGGCGGCAGGATGGGGGGGAGTGGGGGATAGATAAAGAGAGATGGGGGAGAGAGACAGAGAGAGGGAGAGGGAGGGAGAGAGAGACAGAGACAGACAGAGAGAGTATACTTTGTATGTTCTCAACTTCTATTACACAATATTATTCATATTATGGAAAGTCTATAATGCAATGACTAGGAGCAATTAAAAAGTTTACATTTCTGAAAGTTGTCTTTGCATTCTGTAGTGTGTTGTTTTGTTGTGTTGTTAGTTGTTGTCTGGTCTACCAGATGTTATATGCTGTATGTGTCGACCCTGTAAATGTTTGAACCCTGTTCAAAATCAGCACCGTAAACTGACAAACACACATAAATCAGCATTAAACCGACAAGCGTGTGAAAAGGACATGTCACATCCAGACAGCCACTCTAGAAATTATGGGCTGGCCCACCAAAGGTCTTCCCATCCCCATGGAAACCTGCACAATTGAGTCCCCGGAGTGAGACAGAGTGGTACAGATAGGGGGAGAGAAAGAGACGGGGAAAGTAGGGAGAGAGAGTTGAGAGAGAGAGAGAGAGAGAGGGAGAGAGAGAGAGAGAGAGAGAGAGAGAGAGAGAGGAGGAGAGAGAGAGGGAGAGGAGAGAGGGAGAGAGAGGACACGAGAGCGGAGAGGAGAGAGAGCAGAGAGAGAGAGGAGAGAGAGAGAGATTAGATTACGATAAGATGATAGATAGATAGCTAGTAATAGATAGATAGATAGATAGATAGATAGATAGATTAGATTAGATAGTAGATAAATAGATAGTAGATGATAGATAGATAGATAGATACGATAGATAATAGATAGATAGATAGATAGATAGGATAGATAGTAGATAGAAGATAGATAGATAGATAGAAGAGAATAATAGATTAGTAGATTAGTAGATAGATAGATAGATAGATAGATAGATATACGTTATTCTTTAGAAATCTTCTGTAGTTGTGTGAGAAGTGCAGATTTTGGCCTACTGTACAGTATATCCTTCAATGGGACTAGCACTTGTTCTTCTGCTCCACTGTCCAGCGTGTTTTGCAGTACTGCATCACTGCTTGGTACAACAGTGTCACAGTACAGGCAAAAGCCAGGGTGACAAGTCTGCTGAAAACTGCCTAACATTTAATAGTTGGCAAGCCCACCAACAAAACCTTTCTGGACAGCTACCACACAAACATTATAAGGATGGCAAATAAAATAGCTGAGGACCCCTCCCATGTGCTCAACTCAGAGTTTGTGCTCCTGTCATCCAGGAAGTGCTACAGACTCCCCCTGTGCAAACTGGTCAGGTACAAAAACTTGTTTGTGCCACACGCACTGACCCTTATGAACAAATAAGGAGGACATTAGGGACATGGGGAAAGATTCACTCATTCGGGAATGGGCAATAGTGAAAAGTGATAAGTGAAATATAACTAACTGTGTAAAATATTCATGGTATCATGGACATGGAAAGTATAGGGTTGTGCAATAACATTATGTGCAACGCTCAGGGACCTTGGACATTAAGGGGATGTGTAACATTGAGTATAGGACAGACAGCTATGTAACGTGGAAGGGAGGAGTAAGAGTTCTTAAGCTGTCATTCTTGTTTTTTTCATGAATGTGTATGTTTGATGTTATGTCTGGCCTATGCCATGTCTCTCACCATATCACAGTGCATTTTCTTGTACGTAAAGCAAATATCTGTGAAAATCAAACAATAAAGAAATATCTAATCTAATCTAGCATTGGAGACCAAGTCCAGTACTGTGTGTCTAACACTTTAGTCTAGGTAGAGGTTGCAGATTGCATTTTTAAACATGAATTGGGACTTTCGGGCACATGAGGACATGTGTGTGTCTGAATGTCAGTACTGAGGTTTGCCTTTGGAATTGTGTTATTCAATTCAACATAGTTAATTTGAATCCAATACACACTGTTACTGCCAATTAGATGGTCTACACCAGGACAGCCCAACCCTGTTCCTGGAGAGCTACCGTCCTGTACATGTTTGCTCAAACACTAATCTAGCAAACCTGATTCTAATAATTAGCAGGTTGATAAGGTGAATCAGGTTAGTAACACCTGGGGTTGGAGCGAAAACCTACAGGAGGGTAGCTCTCCAGGAACAGGGTTGGGCAACCCTGGTCTACACACTGTCTAGGAAACATTTGTAAAAAATCTAATCTCTAAGAGAAATCTCACATCCCCTCCATTACACACACATATGATCCCCCCACTCACACACAAAACACTGTCCCTATATCCACACACACACACACACACACACACACCCTCTTACCAACTTATAAAAGACTCAGGGGTCATTGAGACAGGCTGGGGCCATGGGGAATGGTTGGTCCCACAGTGGGGAGGAGTTAATCACCCAGATAGTCATGAACTTGACCACAAGACCAGCTGTACCCCAAACATATACTCACTCACACACACACTCACACACACACACCCCTTCCTGTTCTTCTTACCCCATGTTTACATTTGAGTCTAGCCACTGAAGTGTGCAGCTTTGAATGGACACACACCCTCTCACCCCACTCTCTCTTTTCTTCCTTTTCCTTGGCCCCCTGATCATCCCTCTCTCGCTCCCCCCACCCCCTCTCTCATTTTCAATCTCTCTTTCAGCTCTCTAGACCATCTGTCTCTCTCCCTCTCCCTCATGACCTATTACCTTATACCTCATAACACACAACCTGAACATGTCTTCACATATTTTTGTTTTTGATATATGGGTGATGCTACTGTGAGACCTCTGGGTGTTCACACCCATTATGGGACTTTGCGGGAGGCTGACTTTTTATGACAGAAATTAGTTGTGTTTTTCTTTGAAGAATAGGTGGTCATTCATTTCGCAATAAGTGTCACTGTTTTCCCTTGACCTTCTTCACCTGGGCCCCGATTCCAACATAGGAAATTACGCCTTTCTTTCGCACGCCTTTCCTATGCACTTCTCAGTAGTTGGTATTCAGACTTACTTTATTAAGGTGCGTAACGGGCTTTGCAGGCATGGTTCTCTTGCGAGCGCTGAATACATTTCATTCAACCGCTGAAAACCTTCCCACTTGCTGACCAACAGATTTTCTCTTGGAGTTTTCATTCAATAGTGTTTTCAGTACATTTATCTTAAGCCATCACTTTAAATACGGTGTAACTTCTAGTTCAAATTTTGTGGACAGACTCAATAGAATATATCGAGAGAACGTATTCAGAATGTTAGGGATCAATGCTAGAAAGCCTTCTAAATACATGCATACTCTTCTTGGTTTCATCAAAAATAATCTGATTTAGTAGATAATTTAGGGTTAGGAAAGTATTTATGAATCATAGAAAACAGGTTTGGAGAGCCTTTACGCACGAAAGAAAGAAAACGGTGGTTTGATTCATTCTGAAAATTGCCACATTCAGTTCTTTAACCCATGGTAATGTTGGAAGATTAGTGTACATAGAATTATAATAGGGAGAATAGTGTACAATTGTAGGCTATACCCTCGTCTATTGCCTGCACTAACTATGGAACTGTGTGATGACACAGCCAAGGATTGCACCATGCGTTGGGTTCAAACTGTTGCGGCTTGGTCTGCGCTCTGCTCCATAACGATTTAATTAGCCTGCATGTCTTTTTTTATATTATCAACTGTTACTAATGATCCTCAGCAACAACCACATGGCCGTGACGGCGTTTACAGAGGAAGCAAATTAATGTAAATGAAACAATGGAATGAAATGGAATGATAATGTAGGCTATACCAACTGAAGGAAACGAACAGTAAATTGGCAGTTGAATATGTGTTGTTATTATGTCTACTGACAGTCGATACTGATAGTGCCTAATATTTAACATGATAGAAATAGGAAACAGAGAAAGTCAGTGTAGCCTATAATTAAGACAATCGAGAGTGCCCATCTCTGCAAGTTAAAAGGCCGTACAATAACAATTCTGCATAATGGCACAGCATTTCATAAACTTTACTGTGGGAAAGTTGATATGTTGATATGCTTCAGTTTGCTGCCATATGACTGGTTTCACATTTGTTTCCAGCCATTAGAGGGTAAATATATCTAAAACAAGTGTAATTTATATTTACAATTCCCTTATCCAAACGGATTACTCATTTCCCTAGCTCTTATCAATGGCTCTTATTAAGTTGTAAATTACAGTGCATGGAGAATGGTGTTATTTGTAAAGAAAAATATTAAGTAGATGCTTTTTCCAGTTGGAACCGCTAGGTTCGCTAGACCTTATTCATGGTTTCCTGGTGGTAGATTTATTAGGGAATTAAGTCAAGGTCAGAATAAGGTGTATCTGTAGACACACCTACGCCACACCTTCACTTATTTGATCCCACCCAAAACGAATAGCAGGTGAATAGCAAGCGATTCTCATGCTTAAGTTCAAGGTCAGAATACGCATAGAGAGAAAGGTGCATAAAAAGGGAATTACGTTCCATTTACGCACGCTTAACTCGGGTCGGAATCGGCCCCCTGTTGAATACCATCCATATGTTCTCCTCTCTCCCCCCTTTATCATCTCCCCACTCTCCTAATTATCTTGTCCCTACCTGCCTCCCTTATTTCCTCCAACTTCTCTCCATCTCCTCCACTCCTGTCTCATCACCCCTTTACGCCATCTTTTCTCCTCTCCTTTGTCAAACCATCTTCTCCACCTCCCTCCTCCCCACTCTTTCCCCTTCCAGTTCAACCCAACACATCTAGCACCTCACCCCTCTCCAACTACATCAGCCCCCATCTCTACCTTTTCACTCCTCTCTCTCCCCTCTATCCCTCTGCTCTTTCTTTCCTTTCCTCCTCTATACCTCTGCCCCATCTCACTACCCCTGACCTGCCAGGGTTCCAGGATTACCATGGTGACCAGCCTGTGGTTCCTGTGGTCAGGTTCACGGCTGCCTAATTAGCTGCCTGACATTCAGGGGAGTTTTGGTCAGACAGCAGTTCAGTTGAGGGAGAAAACGGAGAGAAGCGTAGAAATAGAGAGATAAAATACGGGAAAAGATGAAAGAAAGCAAAAACAAGTGTAAGGGGAGGTGGCTTCAACAGAGCTCAGCTCAGGAGGAGCTTTGGAATTTTGCTATTGGTTTGAACAATGCGACAGAGCAATGAAATTGGTTGAACAACTTAACAACACAATACTATTAGACAAACTACTTCAGAACACAATTTAATTGGTGAACAAGATATCAACAGCACCTTGTTGGATATTTCCAATGCCTTTCCCTTAGGCCTACAGCTGATTACAATTAAAGTAAAGCTTGTAATGTGGTCACACACTGTTAGCTTGTTTGTCCAGCCAACATAGATCTGTAACGTGATGGAGACAGGCTGTTCTCCCAGCTTATTTTTCTAAACAGGAAACCAGCTAATGGGGCGGCAGGTAGCCAAGCGTTTAAGAGCATTGGATCAGTAACTGAAAGGTTGCTGGTTCGAATCCCTGAGCTGACTAAGTGAAAAATCTGTTGAACAAGGCCCTAATTGCTCCTGTAAGGCGTTCTGGATAAGAGTGTCTGTAAAAATGAGACAGATGATGTTACAGAATCACCGCCCTATCAAATTAGCCTGAGGTGTGTGTGCGACCAGGTCATTCCCACTGGCTGTTAAGCTACTATGGATAGGTCAGGGGTAATTCTGATTGGATTATCTGAACTCTCTATCAGAGATAGTAGAAAAACAGAGCTGTCTTTACAAGTTGATTTTACATTTTGTTCTAGAATTTGAACCATGGCCCATACTGAGGTTGGCCTACAACTCTGAAGTTCTAGTAGGTATCAGCGTTCAGCCAGTTAATTAATGCTGTTTACAAACAAGGTGTAACATGTACTACGCACTTTGTGAAATTCTTATAACAAGGGCAATGGCCATGTAGTCAGCAGGGAAATCTGGCTTTACTTATGATGAAATATATTTGCGTCATGTTATTAACTTGTAGAATGTAACATTATATTCAGAACACACAACCTACAGTAGAGTAGATGAGCACTATTTGAATGAACAGTTTCCTAATTGAGGCCCGTGATGAATAATGTATGATTGTGTCCTGAGGAGGCCTCCTCTCCTCTGCTAGCGGAAGAGCATAGTGTAGTCAAGTAGCTCTGAAGAGACTGTTGTTGGCTCTGTTCATTCACCAGGTCAACATTGTTTCCCTCCACTAATGTGAAGAGCAGCAACAAGTGCAGTGAGATGAAGCTAGTGGACTGAAGTGAAGGACTAGGGCTTTAGTTTGGACCTCTCACTTAACTAATCATCAGCAATGTGAGACTTGAGTGGTTGTTGGACATTCTGTTTTTGATTAAAGCTCTGATTGTCTTGATAATGTTGTCATCTGCCCTGTCTGAGAAGTCTGATTGGGTGGGCTTTAGGTCATAACAGTACAGTCAGTATTCTAAACTGTTGTTGTATGGGTCTTTCTGACCACAGCTGCAAATACTATGTCAACTGGAACCCACACCGTTCCCTTACTCTTATCTTTTTGTTTTTACCTTACTACTTAGAATAGTTCTCTCATCCTAGCAAACTTTCTGTAGCTGACCTTCCATATCACATCCCTCTTTAGTTTAACCGTTGGACTGGTTGGGGGGCTGGAAGCGCGTGAGTGCACTGTACACCATGGGGAGACATGGGTGAATGAGTTCCCTTGCTTTTTCCACCCCTCTCTTCTCCCTCTACCTCACCCCTCTACCCCTCACCCCTCCCACCATCTCACCCCTCACCTCTCTCTCGATCTCCTCTACATCTCTCACTTCCCAGCACGCATCCTGCTCTCCCTCCCTCACCCCTCTGAACCCCCCACCCCTCTCCCTCTATGTCACTCCCCTCTCAACCTTCTTTCCATCTTCAACCCCTACCCCATGTTAGTTTCCTCGCCACTCTAACCTCTCAGCCTCTCCCCACCTCTCTATTCTTCTCCACAAACCCACCCCTCTTTCCCAAGCCTGTCTCCCATCCCTCTCTCCCATCTCCCCAGATTTTCCAGACCGTTCCAGTGCTAAGCTGAGCTTAAAAGAGTCAGCTGAGCTGATCAAAGACTGGAGTCATGCAGTGGCTAACAAGAGCCGAGAGTTCCCAACGACACAGGGACCTCCCAAGGGACCCACACCATAGAATTACACTTGCTAGAACCTACGTACAGTAGATCTGCTCTGTTGTCCTGGTATGTACTGTATGGGACTGAGGCGTGTAATGCAGTGGAGGCTGCTGAGGGGAGAACGGCACATAATAATGGCTGGAATGGAGCTAATGGAATGGCATCAAACACATGGAAACCATGTGTTTGATGTATTTGATACAATTCCACTTATTCCACTCCAGCCATTACCATGAGCCCGTCCTCCCTAATTAAGGTGCCACCAACCTCCTGTGGTGTAATGTAAACCAGACAAAGTATTCCATTTAAAATGGACAACAAAACTTTTCATCTTGACCTTGAGCAGCTAAAATCCATGTGGACTAATCCATGTGAATTCCAGGGGTGTAGTGCTGCCGGAGCGCGGAGGAGTGGCAATTTGAGAAAACGCAGAGCTGATAAAATACACTGAACAAAATTATAAACGCAACATGTAAAGTGTTGGTCCCATGTTTCATGAGCTAAAATAAAAGATGAAAAATGTTTCATAGGCACAATATTCTTATTTCTCTCACATTTGGGGCACACATTTTTTGTTTACATCCCTTGTTAGTGAGCATTTCTCCTTTGCCAAGATATCCATCCACCTGACAGGTGTGGCATATCAAGAAGCTGATTAAATAGAATAATAATTACACAGGTGCACCTTGTGCTGGGGACAATAAAAGGCAACTCTAAAATGCCACAGATGTCTCAAGTTTTGAGGGAGCCTGCAATTGGCATGCTGACTGCAGGAATGCCCACCAGAGCTGTTGCCAGATAATTAAATGTTAATTTCTCTACCATAAGCCGCCTCCAACGTCGTTTTAGAGAATTTGGCACTACGTCCAACCGGCCTCACAACTGCAAACCACATGTATGGCCTTGTGTGGGCGAGCGGTTTGCTGATGTCAACGTTGTGAACAGAGTGCCCCATGATGGTGATGGGGTTATGGTATGGGCAGGCATAAGTTACGGACAACGAACACAATTGCATTTTATCGATGGCAGTTTGAATGCACAGAGATACCGTTACTAGATCCTGAGGCCCATTGTCGTGACATTCATCCGCCGCCATCACCTCATGTTTCAGCATGATGACGCACGGCCCCATGTTGCAAGGATCTGTACACAATTCCTGGAAGCTGAAAATGTCCCAGCTCTTCCCTGGCCTACATACTCACCAGACCTGTCACACATTGAACAAGTTTGGGATGCTCTGGATTGACGTGTACGACAGCGTATTCCCAGTGTGAAATCCACAGATTAGGGCCTAATGAATTTATTTCAATTGACTGATTTCCTTATATTACCTGTAACTCAGTAAAATTTTTGAAATTGTTGCATGTTGTGTTTATATTTTTGTTCAGTATATTTCTGGAAAATTCATTCTGATAAATTCTAAATAAATTCTATTTAATTACCACAAAAATTCAATTAAAAGCGATAGAATGACAAACCAAATATTAGCCTAGAGGTAGGTAAATGGTGGTTTCTTCACTGTCTTCTCTCTGGCGGTGGTGAGAATGATGAACTATAGGCTACGTGTGTGCACTGCGGAGGCTTGACCACTTTGGCCAATCAGAACGTTGAAAAAAAAATACTATGTGTCTGCCTTGATGTTCATAAAACTCCACGGACCCCTTTTGCGCAGCGGAACCCAGAACGATATGTGACCACTTGGTTACGGTGACACTGTTCTGCAGAGGACACCCAAACCAGGGTGGCCACCGCAAAGCCCAAGGAGCCTGATTCTCTCTGGAAGTTGCTGTAGGGCTGCTTGGGATATTTAGCCTACATAGCTTGGTATGTCAGGGTGGGCAATTGGAAATCTGAATTGGGCCAAGTGGAGGTAATAATGCATTTAGGTTGTAGTTTATTGAGCTGCATGAATACACCACACCAAAAGCTTGATTTTATGTCTGTTTTAAAACAAATTTCCTGCAATTCTACATAGTAATGATTTATGTTCTCTACTTGGTCAATTGATTTTATAGCATGTTTAATCCAGGGGTGGATCGGCCATCTGGCAATTCTGGCAAATGCCAGATGGGCGCGATCATTTTTTATTTGGGTGGGCTGGTCGAAATTGACACACAGAAATATGTATTTTATTTAACAAATAAAACAATGAAAAAGGTGACATGGACTTTGGCTGATAAATCGCAGTCGCCATACCGTAGCTCAAAACCAAAAATGTAAAAGTAGGCTACAAAAAAATCTCAATTCAAATGCAATGGCTGTTTAGCCTATTGGTTGGCTACCTTTAGAACCATGCGGAGCATCGCTCTGAGAGAAATTGCCAGCCTGCACACCTTTCTCTCACTTTAAGAAAGCAGAGAGCAGAGACAGTACCAGACAGTTTGCTTTGCCGGTCAGCCATTTAGGCAGTGCGCTGATTGTTTGAATTTGATGTTGGCATTTGAACTCTGCCTTGTAAGCCTCACGGCCAGCTGTTTTATTCACCGGTTACTTTCACATTGATGTAGGCATAGGCGGCGCGTCCAATAGGCTAAGCTTCCCCTAATGTAAATGTAAATACATTTGCCAAAATTAGCTGTATAATTACTCGTGCCTATACAGAAATACATAAAATCATTCAAATTAATACACTAGAGAGCATGATTTGGCCACAGAGGATCATTAGCTTCTTTAAATGTTTTGCTGTGGATCTTTTTAAGCTCGCAATATGGGCAGCGCATGGCAAATAGCTGTTTGTTGAGTTGCAGCAGTCAGTGAAAAGCAGTTAACCTCTTAAGGATCTTACCCTTTTTTTCAATTCTCGCCTAAAATGACATACCCAAATCTAACTGCCTGTAGCTCAGGACCTGAAGCAAGGATATGCATATTCTTGACACCATTTGAAAGGAAACACTTTGAAGTTTGTGGAAATGTGAAATTAATGTAGGAGAATATAACACATTACATCTGGTAAAAGATAATACAAAAAAAAAAAACATGCATTTTATATTTGTTTTGTTCCATCATCTTTGAAATGCAAAGAAAGGCCACAATAAAATATTGCAGTTTAGGTGCCGTTTAGATTTTGGCCACTAGATGGAAGCATTGTGTGTGCAAAGTTTCAGATTGATCCAGTGAAGCATTGCAATACTGGACTATTTTTTATCAAGTCTGTCCAAATGCGAATTGGTCAATTGATACATTTTCAAGTACATAACTATAGAGAACACACAAAAATGATATGGTAATACAAAATGTAAGTTTACACACTCCCAGGAATGTCATAAATGATGGATCATTAGCTTATACACTAACTTTCACACATCTAGATGGCCGGGCGGGGTGGGTGTGGAGCCAGAGACAGCAGGGGTTCAAACTGTAGAACCCAGTTCTTACATTTAAATATAAAAATTGATTTTATCAAACAAATCTATGCTACATGTTATCTCTGGGACCCTTAGGATGACAAATCAGAGCAAGATTACTGAATGTAAGTACATTATTTACCTTCAGAGGTGAATGTATCAAACCAGTTGCCGTGATAAGTTTTTTGTTGTTGTGCACTCTCCTCAAACAATAGCATGGTATTTTTTCACTGTAATAGCTACTGTAAATTGGACAGTGCAGTTAGATTAACAAGAATTTAAGCTTTCTGCCCATATAAGACATGTCTCTGTCCTGGAAAGTTTGCTGTTACTTACAACAGTCATGCTAATCACATTAGCACACGTTAGCTCAATTAGGCCTATCCTAATACTTCAAAATACTACCATCGTAGAAATAACAGAGTTTAGAAAAGAGAAGACAAAGAAAAGACTCTAATCTACCTCTAGTTATCAAAATTATCAACTCCCAATTGAGCAAACAGCAGCATGTCTTATTGGCATAAGCGAAGAGCAGCCATATCGATATCCCCGGTGAGTGGGTGCTTATTCAATATCTTTATCATTGGATCAGTACCACTGGAATGTTTTTTTGGGGAAAATAATTTCCTCCTCCAGGCTAGATGGACGTCATATTCTCAATTTGTGTCTCCCTTTTTCATAGGCCTAGATTAGATGGTTGCATTCAAGGCAAGGTCGTTTTTACTGATCTGTTTGTCAGCAAAGTAGGAAACTAATTTGTGTCGTATTAAGAAATATGTTGCTTTTCTTTTCTCCAGTGCAAAGAAAGGAGAAGAAACGTCTCTGATTAGTCCAGGGCCGGACTACCGCATTTGGGGCCCGGGGCAACGATCTCTAGGGGGTCCCCCAACCCAACCCCATTTTTTTTTAGGAAAACTGATTTTGCCATGGTTCAGAGAGAAACGTGCAGTTTTATAACGCTGAGAAAATATCTTCCCCAAACTTGAAACTCACGCGCCGCCTACGGATGTCAGCATTTGCAGTCAAACTTGTTGTGACTTCTCTAAGTATATTAGTCAATTGATGATGAGGTTGAGTAGTGGCTGACGTTGTACAGTGCATTCGGAAAGTATTCAGACCCCTTGACTTTCTCCACATTTTGTGACGTTACTGCCTTATTCTAAAATGGATTAAATTAATTTTTTTCCCTTATCAATCTACACAAAATACCCCATAATGACAAAGTGAAAACACGTTTTTCAAGTTTTTGGACATTTATTCAAAATAAAAAACAAAAATACCTTATTTACATAAATGTTCAGACCCTTTGCTATGAGACTCGAAATTGAGCTCAGGTGCATCCTGTTTCCATTGATCATCCTTTAAATGTTTCTAGTCTGTTTGGAGTCCACCTGTGGTAAATTCAATTGATTGGACATGATTTGGAAAGGTACACCTGTCTATATAAGGTCCCACAGTTGACATTGCATGTCAGAGCATAAATCAAGCCATGAGGTCGAAGGAATTGTCCGTAGAGCTCCGAGACAGGATTGTGTCGAGGCACAGATCTGGAGAAGGGTACCAAAAAATGTCTGCAGCATTGAAGGTCCCCAAGAACACAGTGGCCTCCAAGACTCTTCCTAGAGCTGGCCGCCCGGCCAAATTGAGCAATCGGGGGAGAAGGGCCTTGGTCAGGGAGGTGACCAAGAACCCAATGGTCACTCTGACAGAGCTCCAGAGTTCCTCTGTGGAGATGGGAGAACCTTTCAGAAGGACAACCATCTCTGCAGCACTCCACCAATCAGGCCTTTATGGTAGAGTGGCCAGATGGAAGCCACGACTCTGTAAAAGGCACATGACAGCCCGCCTGGAGTTTGTCAAAAGGCACCTAAAGACTCTCAGACCATGAGAAACAAGATTCTCTGGTCTGATGAAACCAAGATTGAACTCTTTGGCCTGAATACCAAGAGTCACGTCTGGAGGAAACCTGGCACCATCCCTACGGTGAAGCATGGTGGTGGCAGCATCATGCTGTGGGGATGTTTTTCAGCGGCAGGGACTGGGGAGACTAGTCAGGATCGAGGGAAAGATGAACGGAGCAAAGTACAGAGAGATCCTTGATGTTCACCTTCCAACAGGACAACGACCCTAAGCACACCGCCAAGACAAAGCAGGAGTGGCTTCGGGACACGTCTTTGAATGTCCTTGAGTGGCCCAGCCAGAGACCGGATTTGAACCCGATCGGACATCTCTGGATAGACATGAAAATAGCTGTGCAGCAACGCTCCCCATCCAACCTGACAGAGCTTGAGAAGATCTGCAAAGAAGAATAGGAGAAACTCCCCAAATTCAGGTGTGCCAAGCTTGTAGCATCATACCCAAGAAGACTGGAGGCTGTAATCACTGCCAAAGGTGCTTCAACAAAGTACTGAGTAAAGGGTCTGAATACTTACATAAATGTGATATTTCAGTGTTAAATTTTTTATATGTTTGCAAAGAAAATGAAAACCTGTTTTTGCTTTGTCATTACGGGGTATTTTGTGTAGATTGATGAGGGGGCTGTAAAGTGGAAATGTGGAAAGAGTCAAGGGGTCTGAATCCTTTCCGAATGCACTGTATTTGCCAGACCTTTAAACCTAATATTGCGGCTGTTCTCTAAATATAATTTTGGAGTTTTTAAATTGTGTAGAAATACAGTAAATGAGCTTTAACTTCCAAAAATGTCCTTGCAATGAATGAGCCAAACTTTTTTTTTTATGCCCTCCCTGGTTTTCGGATAGGCTAAGCTGAAGTCACGTAAACTCACATTCAAAGTCAAACGAGGCATCAGCAAAGAGACCTCCTCCGACTCTGTCATCAGTTAGACAGCCAAGATCATGGATCGTAAAAAATGGAAAGGGTGTCTATAAACGTCGAAAGAGCACATTCTGCATCGTCAGCTCACTCAAAACGTCCTATTTTTTGGGCAGCTAAAACCCTGATTTGGTCAAATGGTAACGTGCATTATCCTCATGATTCTTGTAATCAAAGTGTCTGCCCTCCCCTTATGCCTGTGCCCTCGCTGAGGCCTGCTGCTGTGACGAGCATGCCACTCTCCTCTCCCCCCATGCATTCTTATCGTATAACATTTAAACTGCAATTGCAGGGAAAACACAGCTTTGGAAGCTTTGTCCCCTTGTTAGTTGGCGGCGCGTGCAGTGATGTGGGCTGGTGTGAACATTCTTGTCCCAGTCCGCCCCTGGTTTATTCTATGCAAATAAATTATATGAATTGATAGTTCACCTCTCTGTTTTATTTTATTCTGCAATAGGGTATATTGTAGCTATGTGTTCAAATCAAAGTTTATTTATGATATAGCATGAAAGCTACACAATACAATGAAATGCCTACTATGCCTACTCGCAATAAAGCTCTCCTCGCAAACAGTGCAATGATATTAAGCTAATATAACAGCGCCTTGAGAAAGTATTCACACCCCTTGACCTTTTCCACATTGTGTTGGGTTACAGCCTGAATTTTAAATGGATTACATTATGATTTTGTGTTACTGATCTACATACAATACACCATAATTTAAAAGTGGAATTATGTTTTTAGAAATGTTTACAAATTAATAAAAAATTAAAAGCTGAAATGTCTTGAGTCAATAAGTATAGTATTCAACCCTTTTGATATGGCAAGCCTAAATAAGTTCAGGAGTAAAAATGTGCTTAACAAGTCACATAATAGGTTGCATGGACTCACTCTGTGTGCAATAATAGTGTTTAACATGATTTTGACTACCCCATCTCTGTACCCCATACAATTATCTGTAAGGTCCCTAAGTTGAGCAGTGAATTTCAAGCACGGATTCAACCACAAAGACCAGGGAGGTTTTCCTATGCTTCGCAAAGAAGGGCACCTATTGGTAGATGGGTTAAAAAAGCAGACATTGAATATCCCTTTGAACAGGGTGCAGTTATTAATTTTACACTTTGGATGGTTGCCGGAGAGGAAGGAAACCCTCAGGGATTTCACCATGAGGCCAATGGTGATTTTATAGGTCGTTATCAATAAAACGTCACAATAAGGTACAGAGCGTTTGATTTGCCTACTGGGGGGCAAGGAGACTCTCAGCTTTTTATGTTTTATTATCTCTCTGTCATACTGTGTTCAACTGTGTTCAATCTTGCCTAGCCATCTTGTTTCAAGAAAACCACAATGGAAATCAGTCCCAGACTTTATTCTGTGTTATCCTTGATGATTTTACTCATGCATGTATGGCTTTTTCAAGTTTTATGTGTGCTTGTTTTTTTTCATGGTTTAATTAATAAACTAAACTATGCTCTGCTAAAACCATTGACAACTGTGTGCTGTTTTCAAGGGATTGTTAAATAAATGTTAACTATTGGGTTGTAATATTTCTGATTATTCCGTGTGAAACAATTGCACACATGTCCCCTTGCTATCAACAGAGTTATAGGCCTACAGCTTTCCATGATCAGTAAATCGTGGTCCTCTGTAGCTCAGCTGGTAGAGCACGGCGCTTGTAACGCCAAGGTAGTGGGTTCGATCCCCGGGACCACCCATACACAAAAAATTTATGCACGCATGACTGTAAGTCGCTTTGGATAAAAGCGTCTGCTAAATGGCATTTATTTTTTTATTTTTTTAAAACATCAATTGATCATGTAATTTCAGATACGTGAGGATAGCCTCACGATATCTCTCAATATTGGCCACCATTAATTGGATATTTGAGAGATATAACATAAACGTGAACTATACCTGACAAGTATGAGTGGTTTAGGTTAAACTAGATGGCTAAATCAAAAATTGTATGATTTGCTTGCCATCTATAGTGGTAATGACAGTAGTCCAACTGACAACATTACCAGGACGATGTCAAACTCTTTCCAAAAGCCTAATCTCTGATGAAGCAAGCTAAATGACACATGTTGTTTGCTTTAACCATTTGGTTAGCTACAGTTGATGTCGGAAGTTTACATCTTAGACAAATCCATTTAAACTCTGTTTTTCACAACTGACATTTAATCCTAGTAGAAAATCCCTGTCTTAGGTCACCACTTTATTTTAAGAATGTGAAAAGTCAGAATAATAGTAGAGAAAATTATTTATTTCAGGTGTTATTTATTTCATCACATTCCCAGTGGGTCAGAAGTTTACATACACTCAATTAGTATTTGGTAGCATTGCCTTTAAATTGTTTAACTTAGGTCAAACATTTCTGGAGGCCTTCCACAAGCTTCCCACAATAAATTGGGTGAATTTTGGCCCATTCCTCCTCACAGAGCTGGTGTAACTGAGTCAGGTTTGTAGGCCTCCTTGCTCGCACACGCTTTTTCAGTTCTGCCCACACATTTTCTATAGGATTCAGGTCAGGGCTTTGTGATGGCCACTCCAATACCTTGACTTTGTTGTCCTTAAGCCATTTTGCCACAACTTTGGAAGTATGCATGGGGTCATTGTCCATTTGGAAGACCCATTTGCGACCAAGCTTTAACTTCCTGACTGATGTCTTGAGATGTTGCTTCAATATATCCACATAATTTTCCTTCCTCATGATGCCATCTATTTTGTGAAGTGCACCAGTCCCTCCTGCAGCAAAGCACCACCACAGCATGATGCTGCCACCCCCTTGCTTCATGGTTGGGATGGTGTTCTTCGGCTTGCAAGCATATCCTTTTTCCTCCAAACATAACGATGGTCATTATGGCCAAACAGTTTTATTTTTGTTTCATCAGACCAGAGGACATTTCTCCAAAAAGTACGATCTTTGTTCCCATGTGCAGTTGCAAACCGTAGTCTGGCTATTTTATGGCGGTTTTGGAGCAGTGGCTTCTTCCTTGCTGAGCGGCCTTTCAGGTTATGTCGACATAGGACTCATTTTACTGTGGATATAGATACTTGTGTACCTGTTTCCTCCAGCATCTTCACAAGGTCCTTTGCTGTTGTTCTGGGATTGATTTGCACTTTTCGCACCAAAGTACGTTCTTCTCTAGGAGACAGAACGCGTCTGCGTGGTCCCATGGTGTTTATACTTGCGTACTATTGTTTGTACAGATGAACATGGTACCTTCAGGTGTTTGGAAATTGCTCCCAAGGATGAACCAGACTTGTGGAGGTCTACAATTATTTTTCTGAGGTCTTGGCTGATTTGTTTAGATTTTCTCATGATGTCAAGCAAAGAGGCACTGAGTTTGAAGGTAGGCCTTGAAATACATCCACAGGTACACCTCCAATTGACTCAAATGATGTCAATTAGCCTATCAGAAGCTTCTAAAGCATGACATCATTTTCTGGAATTTTTCAAGCTGTTTAAAGGCACAGTCAACTTAATGTACGTAAACTTCTGACCCACTGGAATTGTGATACAGTGAGTTATAAGTGAAATAATCTGTCTGTAAACAATTGTTGGAAAAATTACTTGTGTCATGCACAAAGTAGATGTCCTAACCGACTTGCCAAAACTATAGTTTGTTAACAATAAATTTGTGGAGTGGTTGAAAAACGAGTTTTAATGACTCCAACCTAAGTGTATGTAAACTTCCGACTTCAACTGTACATGCCAAATGGATCTGGCTACCCTCACGTATCTGAAAATACATTATCAATTGATGTTTACTGATTGCTGTATAACTCTGATGATAGACCTGAATGTGGAATAATCAGAAATGTGTAGTTCTGACTATGCTCTTCAAGAGGTGATGATATTAAAACCAAATAATTATAACATTTATTTAATAATCCCTTGAAACGGCACATACAGTAGTTGTCAATGGTTTTAGCGGAGCTGGGGGTCTCCTTAACCTTCTTTTTTTTTTTTTTTTTTTTCATTTAGCAGACGCTCTTTTCCAGAGCGACTTACAGTTAGTGAGTGCATACATTTTTTTAACCTGGCAGCAGCCAAATGGAACGCTATCGTGACATTTTATTGATAACGACCTATAACAGTTACAGAGTTCAATGGCTGTGATAGGAGATAACTGAGGATGGATCAACAACATTGCAGTTACTGACACAAATAGCATAAATGCAGAGTGAAAAGAAGAAAGCATGTACAGAATACAAATATTCCAAAACATGCATCCTGTTTGCAATAAGGCACTAAAGTAATACTGCAAAAAATGTGGCAAAGAAATGAACGTTTTGTCCTGAACACAACACATCACTGAGTACCACTCTTCATCATTTTAAGAATGGTGGTGGCTGCATCATGTTATGGGTATGTTTGTCATCAGCAAGGACTAGGGAGTTTTTTAAGATAAAAATTAACAGAATAGAGCTAAGCACAGGCATAATCCTAGAGGAAAACCTGGTTCAGTCTGCTTTCCAACAGACACTGGGAGACAAATTCACCTTTCTGCACGGCAATAACCTAAAACACAAGGTCAAATATACACTGGAGTTGCTTACCAAGATGACATTGAATGTTCCTGAGTGGCCTAGTTACAGTTTTGACTTAAATCGGCTTGAAAATCTATTCCAAAACTTGACAATGGCTGTCTAGCAATGATCAACAACCAACTTGACAGAGCTTGACGATTTTTTAAAAGGATAATGGACAAATATTGTACAATCCAGGTGTGCGTAAAGACTTACCCAAAAAGACTCACAGCTGTAATCGCCACAAAGGGCGCTCCAATCGCTTAAAATGACATCTCATCAAGATCTGTTGCCTACGCCTAATAGTCATACTCATCACTTATAATTATTATTACAAATAAAAGAGTATCACTACTCACAATGGTGCTCATTTAGTAAAGTTAGATCAAAGCTGAATCAATGTCTTGCAAGATCACATAATGATTCATTAGGATTTTACATAACAGAACCGAATATGATACCATAGCATAGTAGGCCTATAGCGTTACTGTTACACCAAAAACATCTCATTTCTAATGAGATTTTAGGATGTTTAGCTGAAGCTGAATAGTCCCAAAAATTATTCTCATACAAGAAATGCTAATAGTTTGTTAACACCATCTTCTCTAATTCACTCACAAAACAGTATTTCAAGATGCATATTCCCATGAAACTGTTTGAGATCAATCAAATGATTGCCATTGAGATGCAGTTTGGACATTTCACTGCTAAAACGTGTGGCTCAGTTGGTAGAGTATGGTGCTTGCAACACCAGGGTTGTGGGTTCAATTCCCACAGGGGACCAGTATGGAGAAGGAAAAAAACAAGTATGAAATGAATGCACTCACTACTGTAAGTTGCTCTTGATAAGAGCGTCTGCTAAATGACTCAAATGTGAATTACCAGTGATGAAATAAGGTAGCCTATGCCTTACTTGGTGTTTGAGGGTATTAAAGATATAAATATTTCTTTAGACTATGCAGATGTTGCAATTGGAGGATGCATGTTATGCATATTCTATAATGATAGGCTAATCAATTGGCTACATCTGTAGGTACAAACTTTGATTGAGGAAATTATGACGTTATAAAAAGAAATGCACTCCCTCACCTAAAAAAATATCACTACACCACTGGTGAATTCTCCTACGTCCACCAATAGTGGCGTTTCAATATAATTTATATTGATTGCAGGTGTAGAATACTAAGAAAAAAGCTGAATTCTGATAGGTGAATGCTACACCTAATGGTGGAGCAGGTCCCCCCACCATGGAACACTGTTTTCAAAGGGAATGTTAGTTATACTAATTGTAGTTTTAAGTTCTGAGTCGCCCCTCACTGCCCCGCCGGCACCTTTACTTGGGAAAGAGCCTGACACTCTCTTTCCTGTCCTACCCTCCTCCCTCCCCCTTTCTCCTCCCCTCCGTATACCCATCTCCTCCCTCTCTTCCCTCTCCTACTCTGCTCATCACCTCACCGCTTTCCTGTTCCCACCACTCCCCTTCCACTCCTCCTCTGCTCTCTCTCCTCCCCATCTCCAGACTACAGATGTAGGATCTTAATTTGAGCCAGTTTGCTACAGCAGGAAAATTATCTTGCAGCAACAGGACATGTGAATTATTATGTGGATTATAATTGTGTTGTTAGGGCAAATCAAGTCTGACATTTTAATCCTTAAAGTGGAAATTACAAACTTTATAAGCCTTTTTAAACCTTGAATACACCATGTGCAGGCTAAGTGTCCACACTGCATCTGTTTCCCAGTGTCCCTTAGAGACCTCAGCAGTGGGTATCCCTCGAAGGGACTAGACTCAGCAAGCACATTTGGTTCCTTGGAAGTTGTGGGAACGTATACTACCGTTCAAAGGTTTGGGGTCACTTAGAAATGTCCTTGTCTTCGAAAGAAAAGCATTTTTTTTTGTCCATTAAAATAACATCAAATTGATCAGAAATACAGTGTAGACATTGTTAATGTTGAAAATGGTTATTGTAGCTGGAAACGGCTGATTTTTTATGGAATGTCTACATAGGCGTACAGAGGCCCATTATCAGCAACCATCAGTCCTGTGTTCCAATGGCACGTTGTGTTTGCTAATCCAAGTTTATCATTTTAAAAGGCTAATTGATCATTAGAAAATCATTTTGCAATTATGTTAGCACAGCTGAAAACTGTTGTGCTGATTAAAGAAGCAATAAAACTGGCCTTCTTGAGACTAGTTGAGTATCTGGAGCATCAGCAATTGTGGGTTCCATTACAGGCTCAAAGTGGCCAGAAACAAATAACTTTCTTCTGAAACGCGTCAGTCTATTCTTGTTCTGAGAAATGAAGGCTATTCCATGCAAGAAATTGCCAAGAAACTGAAGATCTCGTACAATGCTGTGTACTACTCCCTTCACAGAACAGCGCAAACTGGCTCTAACCAGAATAGAAAGAGGAGTGGAAGGCCCCGGTGCACAACTGAGCAAGAGGACAAATACATTAGAGTGTCTAGTTTGAGAAACAGATGCCTCACAGATCCTCAACTGGCAGCTTCATTAAATAGTACCCGTCTCAACGTCAACAGTGAAGAGGCGACTCCGGGATGCTGACCTTCTAGGCAGAGTTACAAAGGAAAAGCCATATCTCAGACTGGCCAATAAAAAGAAAAGATTAAGATGGGCAGTCTGAGATATTACTTTTTCTTTGCAACTCTGCCTAGAAGGTCAGCATCCCGGAGTCGCCTCTTCACTGTTGTCGTTGAGACTGGCGTTTTATTGCTTCTTTAATCAGCACAACAGTTTTCAGCTGTGTTAGCATAATTGCAAAAGGGTTTTCTTATGATCAATTAGCCTTTTAAAATGATAAACTTCGATTAGCAAACACAACGTGCCATTGGAACACAGGACTGATGGTTGCTGATAATGGGCCTTTGTACGCCTATGTAGATATTCCATTAAAAATCTGCCGTTTCCAGCTACAATAGCCATTTACAACATTAACAATGTCTACACTGTATTTCTGATCAATTTGATGTTATTTTATTACTTTCGAAAACAAGGACATTTCTAAGTGACCCCAAACTTTTGAACGGTAGTGTATGTTTTTGGTTTCACATTGGTTGTGGGAACGAAGCCATACGTTTCCTGATCGGTACAGAAGTGAACATTTCGCCTGTTCTGGGAATGTTTATTTTTAGGTTGCAGGGAGGTTCTGAGAACTTTTTACTCTGGTTCCTTAAAGGTTTTCCTGGGAGGTTTTATTAACACTGAGAACGGAAATTATAGATTATTTTGAGGTTTTTGAATAACTTCCTTAAAACCTTCACAGAATGCTTCAATAAGACTTTTAATAACACTGCTAGCTTATTTTGGGTTAACTTTTTTAAACTCCAAGCACAGATAGGACACATGGAAATTCATTTATCATCCAAACACATTTATTTTTTATTGTGACAAGGCGTGAGATTCAAAACTATAATCTTCTGTTCTCTATTCATGGTTTAGTCTACTGCGCCACAGGATGGAGCTAGCATGTCATGTTTTTTTACGCATAAAAAGCTGTTCAAACAGACCCCATTTCAAAGGAAACAAGCACTCATTAAGATCAGGTGTGGCCAGTTAGTAATTTAAATATTGAAACAATGTTGCAAATGTCGGAGAGACAGACAGCAAGGTTTATACAAATATCCGTTGTTGAAAACTAAATGTTAGTCTAAAAGAAATGTGAGATAATGTCTAGATGCTTTTTATAGTGGAGATCAAGTTTATAAATTGCCTGGCTGGGCTGATGAGACAGTGGATTGTGCAGTCAGATGGAACAGAGTAAATAGGCATTTTAACATCATAGGTTTAGCTGGTGGTAACTTGTGGAATAAACACCGGCTGTAATGCGGTTTTAACCAATCAGCATTCAGGATTAGACCCACCCGTTGTATAAATGTTTTAAAATAACATACTTAGAACATTCTCTGGACATGACTAAAGTTTACTTGTGGTTTTTATGGAATGTATTCTTAACGTTTTGAGAACGGAATATATGATTTTAAATAACATTCTTAGAACGTTTTCTGAATGTTATTAAAGTTTTCTTGTGGTTTTTATGGAACGTTTTCTTAACATTCTTGGAACAATTTGAGAACATTACTTTAAATAGAACCATGAGGAAACATTATGCTGAAGTATTGAAATTCCCACAGAATAATTTTGTTTCTTAATGTTCTCTGAACTATTTGAGAACATTCCCAATGTCATACCAGTTGAATAACGTTCCTAGAACATTACCTACATTGAAATTAAATGTAACCATGTTTGAACTTTTAGGAAACGTTCTGTTAAAGTAATGCCAATGTCCTTAAATGTGCTGAGAACGCTCCGAAGCCAAGCAACTACCCTGCACCATTCCCAGAAAGTTGTGGGAAGGTTGTATGCTAAATAACCATAGGACAACCAAGCTCTCACCAAGCTCTAAGAAACATATGGTTCTCAGAACATTCTGTTCTAGCTGGGAGAGAGAAGAGGCGGGAAGAGAGGAGAAGAGGGAAGAAGAGGGTAGAAGGGGGAGAAGAGGAGAGAAGAATGGGTAAGAGAGGAGGAGAGGAAATAGGGGGGAAAGAGGATAAGAGAGGTAAAAAGAAGGGAAGAGGTGGAAAAGGGACCCTCTCATAGGGAGGCTGAGATGCGTTTGTTAGGGGCCAGATGGAGCCATTGTAGCGTAGAGTTCATCTGAGGCCCCTGGGTCCCCCCTCTTATCCTGCTCCCCGGAAAAGCCTCTCTTAGTCTGGAGGACACTTCTCCCCTCTGCCCCCTTCCACCCCTCTCTGCCCCCCTTAACCCCCTCTCTGCCTCTCTCCCTCCCTCTCTGCAGACTCGCCAACATTCTCTGCCCCCCTCCACCTCTCTCTGCCCCCCTCTCTGGCCCTCTCCACCCCTCTCCACTCTCCTCCACACACTCTGCCCCTCTCTTCCCCTCTCTGCCACCCTTCACCTATGGAAGCTCTCTCTCTAGTGGGTCCACCTGGCTCTCTCGCTGCTAAGGAAGGGGGAGCAGCAGAGAGGGGGGTTAGCTAGTTCACCGTTAGCTCAACATCAACACACAGGTCTTGGTGGTGTAGTAGCTGAGGCTAAGAACGGGGAGATTAGGGGGGAATGTGGGTGCTAATCCACTGCTATACAGCAGCCCTTGGCCTCTCCACTCAGCCAAAGACCAAAGAAAAGACATGCATTCCTCTGCCCTCGGAGCAGAACACACAGACCAGGGGCTACAGACACCATTCTCCAGCCATCTGGCCTTAACCAGAAACTAGAGGAATACCCTCACCCTCGCCCTCATTCTTACCCTACCGCCTACCCTCCTCTCTTATCCTCACCCACCTCCTTAAACGTCAACTTCCTCTTCAGAGAGGAGAGAGAGAGAGAGAGAGAGAGAGAGAGAGAGAGAGAGAGAGAGAGAGAGAGAGAGAGAGAGAGAGAGAGAGAGAGAGAGAGAGAGAGAGAGAGAGAGAGAGAGAGAGGGGGGAGAATAGTGATATATGGAGCCAGAGAAGGAAGAGATGTAGTATGAAGTAAGTATGAGAGATTGAGAAAACGTGCGTGGAATTCCTCTGTGGGTATACACTGAGTGTACAAAATATTAGGAACAGGAACTTCTTCCTAATATTGCGTTGCACCCCCTTTTGCCCTCAGAATAGCCTCAATTCGTTGGGGCATGGACTCTACAAGGTGTTGAAAGCATTCCACAGGATGCTGGCCCATGTTGACTCCAATGCTTGCCACAGTTGGCTGGATGTCCTTTTTTTGTACACTCAGTGTATCCACACGGGTCATCTTCCTTTCCCCGCCCACTTACAAAGATCCACCAATCCCTGAGAAGGGTTATACTGTATATGTTATGTTGGATGTAAACAGAAGAAGGTCACGACCCCTAGTGAGGGTGTATGTGTGTGTGTGTGTGTGTGTGTGTGTGAGTGAGAGAGAGAGAGAGAGAGAGAGAGAGAGAGAGAGAGAGAGAGAGAGAGAGAGAGAGAGAGAGAGAGAGAGAGAGAGAGAACGAGACCCAACTCTGAGACATAACAGTTTGCAAGTGCACACACTCCACACTACCTTTTTCTTGGTTGTCATCCCAAATATGTGTCATGTACCTGCTGTCTGAAACAGAATGGTGTTGGTGTTGATGGTACCAGTAGTAATTGCTTGGTAAAAACACATCTACGAATACTTCCATAGATTACGTTTAGAGGCAGTGAAAGTCCCTCTACCTTTCTATGCCTAGGGTTAACATGTTATCTTCTCTGTCTCACACATACCCTCTTCCTCTATATATATATATATATCTCTCTCCCTCTCCTCTGCCATTTTTCTGCCATCTGTTTCTGTAGCTCTGTGGCGGTGGGCCAGGCATTGCCATGCTGTTGTCATAACAACCAGTGGTGATATCTTCATTGGACCTGTTGAACAAAGAGGCTCTCAGTATCCCGGGTTGCTCTCCAGGGGCTTATGGGTATTTTGCCCTGTTCTATACTGTTCTACACTACCCTGGGCTTGGTGATGGAGGGTGATTCCAGGAAATACCAGCAGTATATCACAAAGCCCACCCCCCCTCTCTCCCTCAATTGAGACATGGATTGTGTATGTGTGCCATTCAGAGGGTGAATGGGCAAGACAAAAGATTGACCGGGGTATGGTAGTAGGTGCCAGGCACACCGGTTTCAGTGTGTCAAGAACTGCAATGCTGCTGGGTTTTTCACACTCAACAGTTTCCTGTGTATATTAAGAATGGACCAACACCCAAAGGACATCCAGCCAACTTGACATAACTGTGGAAAACATTGGAGTCATCATGGGCCAGCATCCCTGTGGAACTCTTTCGACACCTTGTAGTCCATGCCCCGAAGAATTGAGTCTTTTCTGGGGGTGCAACTCTTCCTAATGTTTTGTACACACAATGTATACCCACAGAGGAATTCTAGCAACTTTTTGTCAGGCCCCCAAATGCTGTGCAGCCCTGTTTCTCAAGTACACTAGACACTGTCTCATAGAGTACACTCACAGTGAACCAATATTAGAAGAATAGTTAAACCATACTAACCCTAACCCCAGCCCCCTGGCCCCTCCATACAGACATCCTGCCCTGGTATCAGCCCCAGCCCCATCCCCATTCCCAGCCCTCGCCGCTTATGTCCCCCAACTGAGCTCTACAGCCAGGCCCCCAGCTATTTCAGCAACAGACCCTTATGAACCAGCCCCTCCATTGACCTCTATAGCCAGGCCCCAGCCATACCACTGTGATCCCAGCCCCAGCCCCTTATGATCCAGCACCTTACGACCTAGCTCCTAAAGCCCCTTATGTCCTAGTTTCTCCATCCTCAGCCCCTAGCCCCTTATAATCCAGCTCCATAGAGCTGTAGTCCAGGACGGCCCAGGCCAGTCCCTGGACCCAGGCATCTAGGCCCATACCACTGGTCCCATCCCCAGGCCGATACTGCCGTGATCCCAGTCTTAGGGGGAATAAGGAGACAGTTCATGGCAAAGGCTGAAGTCATCGAGCTGGCATCCGTTAGAATAAGCAGCCAACAATGAGCTCCTCTGTTCCGTTAACACAAGGTTTGTTTTAGACATGAGACCATGCAGCCATGCAGCTTTAGAGATGACTTACAGCAGATCTGCACTGACTGGGATGTCCTCAACTGTACTGCTACTGCTCATGTGTGAACAGTCTCCAGATGCCGTGTGAAGCTTAAGGGAGTGTACCTGTTGTTCAGGATTAGGCAGCAGGATAGAGGGGCAGTGTTTTTTCAGATGGTGAGGCAGGACCCCACTGGTGACTCTAGGCTGAGTTTACAGATTGTGACAGAAAACAGGTGAATAGAATCAACAACAAAAAATATAGATTAGTGCTACACTTTAAACACTTACATCTACACTGGGGCAATGTCTTTTTCAAGACAAGTCAAGTACCAATACTGGTGTTGAAAAAGGCCTCCCAGCCTTCCACATCAACAATATAAAGCTTCCTTTCAATCTGAAGTTCAAATGTATGCAGATGATACAGTGATATATGTGCATGCAAAGAGCAAACAACAAGCTGCACAAGAACTCACTACTGTAATGGTCCAGGTTACAAAGTGGCTCAGTGACTCGTGTTTGCATCTCAATGTGAAAAAAACTGTTTGCATGTTCTTCACAAAGAGGGCAACAGATGCTACTGAGCCAGAAGTCTATGTGTCAGGGGAGAAGCTCCAGGGGGTATCTGATTTTAAGTACCTTGGCATCATACTTGATTCCAACCTCTCTTTTAAAAAGCATGTGAAAAAGGTAATTCAAATAACCAAATTCAACCTAGCTAATTTCCGATTTATACGAAATTGTTTGACTACAGAGGTAGCAAAACTGTACTTCAAATCTATGATACTCCCCCACTTAACATACTGCTTGACTAGTTGGGCCCAAGCTTGCTGTACAACAGTAAGACCTATTCAGTCTGTCTACAAACAGGCTCTCAAAGTGCTTGATAGGAACCCCAATAGCCATCATCACTGTCACATCCTTAGAAAGCATGAGCTCCTGAGTTGGGAAAATCTTGTGCAATACACCGATGCATGTCTTGTATTCAAGATCCTAAATGGCTTGGCTCCCCCTCCACTCAGTATTTTTGTTAAACAGAAAACCCAAACATATGGCAGCAGATCCACAAGGTCTGCCATGAGAGGTGACTGTGTAGTTCCCCTAAGGAAAAGCACCTTTAGTAAATCTGCTTTTTCTGTGAGAGCTTCCCATGTCTGGAATACACTGCCATCAGACACACACAACTGCACCACATATCACACTTTCACAAAATGCTTGAAGACATGGCTAAAGGTCAATCAGATTTGTGAACATGGTCCCTAGCTGTGTGTTGCCGCTTTCCATGTCTGTTGTCTGTAACTTGTGAGGTGTGGAAACACTTTGTTGCTTTTATGAATTTTGTCTTGCTGCTTTTTGTTCTATGTTGCTCTGTCTGTATGCTACGTCTTGCTTGTCCTATGTTGCTATGTCTGTATGCTATGTCTTGTTCTATGTTGTTATTGTCTATATTGTAATTGTTTTTAATAACCTGCCCAGGGACTGCGGTTGAAAATTAGCCGGCTGGCTAAAACCGGCACTTTTACTGAAACGTTGATTAATGTGCAATGTCCCTGTAAAAATAAACTCAAACTCAAACTCAAACTCAAATCCCCTTGTCTTCCCCAGAGGAGGCGTCCCAGGAGGTCATGTCACTCCATGTTAGCCTGCTGCTTTAGCCTCTAGTTTTCAGACTCAGAGAGTAGGAGAGTGGAAGTTAATCTCAGCACCTCTTCCTGCTGTGTCCAGCCCAATTTTAACAAACACACACACACACACACACAGAAAGTCGTAATTAATCTCAGCGCCGCATCCCGCTGTGTGAGGCCCAGACCTGCCACTGCCGTCTCCATGCCCTCTCTGTCTCCATGGTAACCAGGAAGGGGAACTGTCAACCTTTTGGGCTTTCATCTGTGGCCTTGTCCTGGAGCAAGAGGAATGCACTTCATAACACACACACACACACATACAGATACACAACAATGCACGCACACAAACGCACATATAAAGTCACTGTACGGACAACAACACACAGGTTGACAGCCACAGAAGCAGCTACAGTCACACACAGACATATAGAGATACTTCAGAAAGCTGACTCCAACATAGGCATGCACTGTGCTAGACTTCTGTACCAATCTCTGCTTTGCCTTCTATGTCTACTGTACTCTTCTCTCTCTCTCTCTCTCTCTCTCTCTCTCTCTCTCTCTCTCTCTCTCTCTCTCTCTCTCCTCTCTCTCCTCTCTCTCTCTCTCTCTCTCTCTCTCTCTCTCTCTCGCTCTCTGCAGGTCTTTGGAACAATGGTCAAACCACAAACACACAGAGAGACAAAGTAGCCTGTGTCTCGCTCTGGCTCAGAATGCACAACCCAGAACACAGAGAAACATAAAGAAAGCACAGAGAAAGATACAGAGACAAAGACCAAGACACACACAGTCAATCGCTCTCTCTCTCACACACACACACACACACACACACGCACAAACACACACACACACAGGAGGCCTGTTCATGCCACCACCACCTAGGCAGTAGGGGAAGAAGGGCAGTTTATACCCAGCACAGCTGCTTGACGACCCCTATCCAAGTCACCCAAATCACCCCCAGCAGCCCCAAGGCTTTCCTTTTGTACACTCAGTGTATAGGCTTGTGGTTCCCTAAAACTTTTGGACGTTTTCCCCCTAAGTACAGATCATTCTGTGTCATGACCAAGTCATAAGCCATGACCCAGAGAAGTGGGGTGTTGTACGGTGTGTGTCCTCTGCATACAACCCCCTGAGTGTGCGTATTGCTTATGTCAAACGTTCCGCGAAAAATTCCTTCAACTCTGTGTGCAAACACTACAAACGGAGCTGACATGAGCCCTTGTCTCTGAGCCTTGTCTCTGAGCCTTGTCTCTGAACCTTGTCTCTGAACCTTGTCTCTGAACCTTGTCTCTGAACCTTGTCTCTGAACCTTGTCTCTGAACCTTGTCTCTGAACCTTTGTTTAATGCAAGTCTACAACCATACGGCCCTGTTGGTAGAGCATGGCGCTTGCAACGCCAGGGTTGTGGGTTCGATTCCCACAGGGGGCCAGTATGAAAAAATAAAATAATGTATGCACTCACTAACTGTAAGTCGCTCTGGATAATAGCATCTGCTAAAATGTAAATGAAATACAGACACACTCACTAATCTCCACATGGGCTTGTTATGCACGGCAGCAATAACACCTCCTCGTCTGTGCTGCTGAATAACTGGGATGATTGGCCTGTTACAGTGCCTTCAGAAAGTATTCACACCCCTTGACCTTTTCCACATTTTGTTGTGTTGCAGCCTGAATTTTAAATGGCAAAGCAATTAACCTTTTTTTCCTGAATACAAAGTGTTATGTTTGGGGCAAATCTAATACAACACATTACTGAGTACCACTCTCCATATTTTCAAGCATAGTGGTGGCTGCTTCATGTTATGGGTATGCTTGTGATCGTTAAGAATTGGGGAGTTTTCAGGATAAGAAAGAAACGGAATGCCTGCGTGCACAGGCAAAATCCTAGAGGAAAACCTGGTTCAGTCTGCTTTCCACCAGACACTGGTAGATTAATTCACCTTTCAGCAGGACAATAACCTTAAACACAAGGCCAAATGTACTCTGGAGTTGCTTACCAAGAAGATAGTGAAAGTTCCTGAGTGGCCGAGTTGCAGTTTTGGCTTAAAGCTAATTGAAAATCTATGGCAAAACCTGAAAATGGTTGTCTAGCAATGATCAACAACCAATTTGACAGAACTTGAAGAATTTCTAAAAGAATAATGGGCAAATGTTGCACAGTCCAGGTGTGGAAAGCTTTTAGAGACTTACCCAGAAAGACGTACAGCTGTAATCACTGCTAAAGGTGCTTCTACAAAGTATTTACTCAGGGGTGTGAATACTTATGTAAATTTGATATTTCATTTTCATTTTCAATAAATTAGCAAACATTTCTAAAAACATTATGAGGTATTGTGTGTAGACAATTATATTCAATCCATTTAGAATTCAGGCTGTAACACAAAAACAATTGAATAAGTCAAGGGGTATGAATACTTTCTGAAGGCACTGTGCATGCACAGCCTCTGTGGAAAGTCGACTGGTGTGTGTGTGTGTGTGTGTGTGTGTGTGTGTGTGTGTGTGTGTGTGTGTGTGTGTGTGTGGTTGTGTGTGTGTGTGTGTGTGTGTGTGTGTGTGTGTGTGTGTGTGTGTGTGTGTGTGTGTGTGTGTGTGTGTGTGCATGCATGCATGCGTGTGCGTGTGTGTGTGTGTCCGTGCCTGCTCTATGTAAGCATGTCTTCATCCACATGCTAAACCCACACAGACGCTCCGGCACAGGACCCAGCATTATTACTGTTCCACCCACAAGCTCAGGGCTGGCAGGGGAAACATAGAAACACAATGGCCAGAATGGACTAACTCAAATCTAGATCATATTTCAAGACACACCTAATATGGCCAATACACAAGTATGTCAATATTACTTGCTGATTGTCTTGACATTGAACCCTGGACCAATATGGTTGTTCTGCTGTTATGTCCACGGAACATAAATGACTGTTCTGGTATCTCCATTCATTTCTATGAAGATAACCACCAACACCATGGAACATTGCTTTGAATTGGAATATCCATTCTACTCATTCTAATTATGTAGGGAAACTCAGCAACTCATCTCACATCCCCAAAGACCTGATCCAATTCAACTATTTAAAACTAAGAAAGTGGCTGTAGGGTGAAGCAGCATTTTGATATAAACAGGATCCTAAGAGAAGAGTCCACTGAGGAGATAGCTAACTAACCAGGGATCAACAACAGACATGTTGACCACACACAGGGGGCATCTGTATTCAACTTGTCTCTTGGTCTCCTGGGAGTTCAAATGACCCCCACAAAACCATAACTCTGATTTAAGGCTTTCCAGCAGTAACCGAACACTTAGTAAAGGATCAAGTTAAACCCTGAGGGTCCATACTTACAACATATTCAGAAGGAAAATGGGTACATATACCATATGTGTGATGTATTGGGCGGCAGGTAGCTTAGTGGGTAAGAGCGTTGTGCCAGTAACCGAAAGGTCGCTGGTTCTAATCCCCGAGCCGACTAGGTGAAAAATCTGTTGATGTGCCCTTGAGCAAGGCACTTAACCCTAATTGCTCCTGTAAGTCGCTCTGGATAAGAGCGTCTGCTAAATGACTAATTTAATTTTAAAAAATGTACATGAGATGCCATGGTAGTTCCTCTCTGCCACCTAGTGGTCTCTAGAGGTATTATATGAAAGAGCAACACCAATGTAAAAACAGTACTTTTATTTAGTGTATCCACATGAATCCAGGTATCAGTCTCTACTCAGAGGTATCAGTCGCTACATTGTTGTTCTTTCCTGTTTTTTTTGTTGAGGACATTACATCTTCCAATTCCTGAGGCAAAGAACAGTACATTTTAAAACAGTACAAAATAGCACATTGAAAATCCCAAATCATAAACAAAAGTAACACTATATATATATTTTTTTAAACGATCTGTTCACATGAGTCTGGGATAGGAATTCAAAGGTGGTTACTATTTAGCACTTTGTGACAAATGTATTTGTGAAAAGCACTATATACATCAAATTTGATTTATTGATTTGATTGATTGGTTGGTTGAGATCAGCCATCAGAGTGAGTGTGCAGTCCCTTGGTATTACGGTATGGCTTACATTACAACACCTTATCCTGGTTCCTTACCACCATTATTGGGCAGACAAACAACATCCATAACAATACAGCAAACAACCTCAAATCTTTATCCAGCACACCCACAGAGAAAACCTTGACAAATATATTCAAACGGTAGAAAAAAGACACCACAGAGTAAGAGTCAAAGGTGCTGTTGGACTCACAGCTCATCCTTGTCTGTTTGTGAGTCCGAGGATGATTTGAGATCAGTTTTCGAGTCTTTGGAAACCTTTTTGACAGGGGCTTTCTCTGTCTTTTTTGCCGCTGGCTTCTGCTCTTTTTTGTACGTTTTGGCTGCTGCCCGTTTGACGTTTGTTTTTGTTGCAGGTTTTGCTTTAGCCTTGTCTGCTGTCTTAGTGTTGGCTTTGTCCCCTGCTTTAGCCTTGTCTGCTGTCTTAGTGTTGGCTTTGTCCCATGCTTTAGCCGCTGTTTTAGTCGTCGCTTTGGTCTCTGATGCATCCGCTGCTTTGGCTTTCGTTTTCACCAGCTCTTTCACCTTAGCTTTGTCACCCTCTTTTGCAATTAGTTTTTCTGCGTGCTTCTCTATCGGCTTCTCATCCTTTTTATCCTCTGGTTTATCAGATGGGTTTTCACTAACTGTTTCTGCTGGTACCTCAGGCTTCTTCTCTGCTGGTTTGTCATCTGGTTGGTCTGCCTGCTCCTGTACTAGGGGTGCAGCTTGACCAAGAAGCGCATACTGGTCAAAAGGTGTAAGCTGTGGTTCTGAGCTCTCTGTCGTTGTCTCTGTGAACTCTGTGTCTGTAGGAGTGGAGAACATCTTCAGCATCTCTTGAGCTTGGATCCGCTCCTGGAGACACACACACACACACAAACGAGGTAAGACTGAAGCAAGAGAAACTGAGTAAATGTAGATTAATCAGTAAGTGGAAAGTGTTGCTTTCTCCCTCAGATTACAAAATAACCCATCACAACATAGAATGAGAGAAACAAAGACTATACATGATTCCAGATTAACTGATTGACAGATATGTGTTACCTTCTCCTCATGTTTGGGGTCAAGGGTGAACCACAGGGCCACAGCACACCTCTGGCCCTTAGTGACCGCTCTTACCCCGTGAGGGTTCTCATTCCCAGCCCCGAACCCAACCACACGACCACACTGAGGACGCACCTCTGCCTGGACAACACAGGGCAGTGACATCAGTCATCATATGCTCAATTAACTTCTACCTTAAAGTAAATCAAGGAGAAACAACTGTTTATACTTGGCAGCACTCAAAACCTCATCATTGATTGACTCTTACTGTGACAGTTTTGGCATCCAGTTCAGTGAAAATGAAATCTCCTCCTTCAAAATCATCATTCAGATAGAGGATGGCGCTAAAACACAACAGGAACAAGAGAAGTGTTTTAAAGACAGTGGTGCATGATGATACCTGCAAGTGCAGTAGATGTTGCCGATACCTATGTTATAAGCAGATGCATGGTGTGAGTACCTGTAGTCTCTGTGTGTGTATGCGTGCATGTGTGTGTGTGTGTGTTTGTATACCTATAGTCCCTGTGTGTGTATGCGTGCATGTGTGTGTGTGTGTGTTTGTATACCTATAGTCCCTGTGTGTGTATGCGTGCATGTGTGTGTGTGTGTGTTTGTATACCTATAGTCCCTGTGTGTGTATGCGTGCATGTGTGTGTGTGTGTGTTTGTATACCTATAGTCCCTGTGTGTGTATGCGTGCATGTGTGTGTGTGTGTGTTTGTATACCTATAGTCCCTGTGTGTGTATGCGTGCATGTGTGTGTGTGTGTGTTTGTATACCTATAGTCTCTGTGTGTGTATGCAGGTGGTTCTTTGATGCACTCGTTGAGCTCAGAGACCAGAAGGCAGTTGTCTGCATGAACCGGGTGACTCAGGTCGTCACGGTCATCCTGCTTCTCTGTACAGACAGAGGATGGAAACATAACTTACTGTATGTCTATACACTCAGACAGGCAGGTGAATAAGGTGGGTTAAATGACACATCCTGGATTTGATATAGACAACTTGAAGAAAATAGAACATGTTGTTTTCCCATTGTGGTGAATTCCAAAAATGACCTAAACTCATTCTGTCTGACAGTCAGGCACAATACTGTCCTGGGGGCCCACCATAGATTACTTTCTCACCGTCGATAGCGGAGCGGCAGACCAAGTGGGAGTAGGAGAAGTAGAGAGGAGAGTCCAGACGGAAGTACGACTCCAGGACCCCACGCACCTTCTCACTCATGTCAAAAAACAGGCGGGCACTTTTCAGGGGCACAGTGCCCTCCTGTCCCAACTGTAGAACAGGACAAGATCATCAGAAATAGGTGCTTTCTTATCACTAACTCACTGGTAACAACTTTACATTGATGCCATTGGGCTGGGGCTCGGCTTTAGATAGGTTGGAGATAAAGCTGAGGCTAGGGAGTGAAGCTAGCTGGGGTTGGGGTTGAGTGAAGTTGAACGTACTGGGTTAGGGTCAGAGTTGGCAGTGCTGGGTTGGTGGTGTTTGGGTTATGGTTTGGTAAGCAGGGCTGTAGTTTGTAGGGTCAGTAATGTACCTTAATAGCCTTGAGGACGGTGACTCCTTGGAAGCTCTCGCTGGGGGAGTGGGGGGAGGGGCGGCCTTGGTACTCATCACCTTTCAGCGCAGCCGCCTGACAAACACACAGCGTCAACACACACAATGACAGAATCATGCACACAGTTTTAACACACAGGCCATCATAAACACAAACTCCATTAACACACATTCAACATACACACTGTCAAACACGTGCAAACACTGTCAAACACATAGACTAACTAGCCCTGACTCCCACTCACATTAGAGAGGTGGGTGAGCTCTCTGCACTCGTCATTCGAGATAAATCCATCAAGTAGAACCCTCTGAGACCCATTCAGCTGCTTAGACGACATGGTAATGTTGATGTCATCAAACAACAGAGGACCACCTGGGAGCGACAGGGGGAATGAATATAGAGAGAGGGGCATGTCAGAGTGTTCTACACAGTCCACTGACATTCCCACACTTCATGCTCTAAAAACCCTACCTTCTCGTACGATCTTGGCAATGTCAGTCGACTCCTTGTTCTTCTCCTCCACCAGAGTTTCAATCTCCTTCATCAGATTCCCAATCTCTTCAGTGATCCTTGCCGCAGTCTCCCTGTCTGCCCTGCAGAGGGCGCCAAAGAACAGGTTAAAAGGTTCAATCATATTGGAGAGCAGATCCTATTCTGAAATTGAGAGCATACATGTATGTACTATGTACCAGTGAATGCTGGTGTCACTTTAAATTAGAGGACGGATCATTGTAATGGCTTGAATGGAACAGTATGTTTGATAACTTTCCATTCATTCCATTTCAGCCATTACAATGAGACAGTCCTCCAATGTCTCCCTCCACCAGCCTCTACTGGTCTGTAAGTGTGTTTCTCTTACTTCTGCTTCTCTCTCAGTTTGAGGGGCATGACGTCTGCAGGGGTCCAGGAATCCTGCAAAGGGAAGGAAAGGATGTGAGATCACATGCTAAAACCACCTGATCACCTATCTTGCATGTAGAAACAGTGAGACACAAGAGAAGATAAGAGACATGTTAACCTACTGGATCAACAAAGGTGATTCCAAACACTTCATAAGCAAAGTAGAGCAGCTCCTTCTCCAACAGGGACTGCTGAATGTGCTGTTTCACCACCTGGGAGGAGAGATGGAAGAAGTGGGTTGGAGGCATGGGGCACAGGTAGTTAGGTAATAATAATAATATAATAAATAATAATATGCCATTTAGCAGACGCTTTTATCCAAAGCGACTTACAGTCTTGCGTGCATACATTTTTTGTGTATGGGTGGTCCCGGGGATCGAACCCACTAACTTGGCGTTACAAGCGCCGTGCTCTACCAGCTGAGCTACAGAGGACCACAGGTAGGGTGTGTGTGTGTGTGTGTGTGTGTGTGTGTGTGTGTGTGTGTGTGTGTGTGTGTGTGTGTGTGTGTGTGTGTGTGTGTGTGTGTGTGTGTGTGTGTGTGTGTGTGTGTGTGTGTGTGTGTGTGTGTGTGTGTGTGTGTGTGTGTGTGTGTGTGTGTGTGTGTGTGTGTGTGTGTGTGTGTGTGTGTGTGTGTGTGTGTGTGTGTGTGTGTGTGTGTGTGTGTGTGTGTGTGTGTGTGTGTGTGTGCGTGGTGCGTGCATGTGTGTGTGCGCACCTGTCTAGCGGATATGGCTGCAGCCTTGTCCTCCCCCAGCACAGCGGAGTAGTAAGCCAGGTTCTGATTCATCACCTCCTCCTCTGGGTGGAACAGCAGGTATGTTTTAGCACACTCTATGGCTTGCTCATACTTCTCACCTGAGAGAGTGGGGAAGGAAGGGGCAAAGGAAGAGAAGGAAAAAGAGAGGGATAGGAAGAGATGAGAGGAGAGGAGAGACCGGCACATTCAGATACAGAGACAGACAGACAGCAAATCATCCTGATTCTTTCAGTGAATAGGGACTTAGACTCACTGTTGTAGTAGGAGAACTGTAGGTAGTTGAAGTGGGAAGGGAGGAAATCCTCAAATGGCTTGTCCTTTCCCGCAGTGGAGGCTAGCTCCACAGAACAGCTCTGCTTACAGTTCAGAATCTGCATGTAGTGGTCTGACAAAGACAGGGCAAACACAGGAGTACAGGGTTTAAGCTTTTATCCAAAACGTTAGCTTGGGGTTGTTTGGGGATTTAGTCTGTCTTAACACTCTATCTCACCTGTCATGGACTGGAACAAGTCGGCACTGTACTCCATGTAGTTGTACCCGTCGTAGTTGTAAGCTCCTTCGCAGAGCGCCCGGCACTCCTGGTCCGCGCTGAAGTACTCCTCCACCGCCGCTTCAAAGTGGTCGATGGCCAGACCAAACGAGTCGGAGCTGTAATACCGCTTCCCTGCAAGGAACTCTGCCTGAGAGATGGAGTAGAGAGCAGAGCAGGGATTCAGCAGAGCCTAGACCCTACCCCAACCGTGTGCCAATTAGGTCCCTTGTCACTTCCCCGGTGCCCTACGCCTGCCCTTTCCAAGTAGGCAAATGGTTTCAGTCTGACTATGTGTGATTCTAACTGTTCTAAATTGTATATAACTGGTCCTTTGTTACTGGGATAACTGATACATTGTCACTAGGATAACTGGTGCATAGTTACTGTTATAACGGGTGCATTCTTACTGGAATAACGGGTGCATTACTAGGGATTAGTGGTGTCAGTCTCACCATGTGCGGCCGGGCCTCCAGGTCTTTGAAGTCCTCCTGCTGTACTCCGGCCATCATCCTGTAGTAGTCCAGGTTCTGCTTCATCTCCATGTGGTCTGGGTTGGCCAAGAAAAACGTGTTTGCCGCCGCCACAGCCTTATCCAGCTTGTTGATCTACACAGGTAAGAGAGATACTTAGTCCAACATAACAATGACACAACATCATATGAATAACTCTCACACAACAAGCAAACAAAGAGAAGTAGCACATTCTGACTCCAAAGGCTTCCCTAAATGCTCCACGTCTCAGAAGTCTTTTGCCATCTGACTAGGAGTCGGGACCTCCTGGAATGATGTAACAAATGTGTGAGCTGCAATCACCAGCATGCTGTTTCAGGCAACTAGTCATTATCCTATAGGCTTACTATAGTATACACGAATCTCAGTGGAGGCTGCTGAGGGGAGGACAGCTCATAATAATGGCTGGAACGGAGAAAATGGAATGGCATCAAACACATGGAAACCATGTGTTTGATGTATTTCATACCATTCCACTGATTCCGCTCCAGCCATTACCACGAGCCGTTCTCCCCAATTAAGGTACCACCAACCTCCTGTGATACATGTGGCCTAGCACCAGGGACTGTGTGTCTCTTTTACATATTTTTGTGTTTCTGTTTGTAAATCAGTACATATTTTGTTCATATCTATTGATATTAGTAAATAGGCAACATGTATAAACCCTTTATGACCTGTGAATCTCAGGAACTGCAGGCCTTATAGGTTGCATGTATTTACTTTATTTAAGTAGCTACAATGTAGTAACCCGTTTATAAACAGACTTTTAAACAAAGTTTGGTTTAGGCCTATTCTGTTTATGTATAGGCCTATTCTAACAATAGCTAAGGAAACTATTGAATGGCACGTATATAGATAGCATGCTGAAGCTGCTGAGTAGCTGCGCTTTTTGATGACAAGCCCCAAAAATCGAGAAGAATCCAGCGCCAGAACGTAAGCGGTCTGTCTACACAGCTAGACTCCACCTAGAGACGTGGCACGGCCGGCTTGGGGGTTGGGGAAAGCAGAGCACAGCACGTAGCTTACAGTTAACGAATTGCTTGAGGGAAGTTTGAATGAAATTGGACAAAAAAGTTACATGACCCTTATTTTGTCATACAAGTGTGATAAATATGCACCTGGTCGACAGAGACACAAACAACATGAACATGTTGTGGAATAAGATATGATGCAGACGCATCTTACTCCACAACATGGGATACTGTCTGTGTGGAAGATACTTTGTTGCAAGCCTATGCAAGATATACAAATGTATAATGCATAACGTTATAGGGCCTATAAGGTCAACCTTTTTTTATACCTTGAAGTATGCGACTTGCAGGTAATTGTAGGGGGTTCTCTTCTTAAACTCAAGGTCCACATCTTCAGTGACTTTATGGATAGTTGGTGGTCCAATTTTCTCACTTTCGCACGTATTTACACAATCAGCCCTTTTCATAATTTTCTGGAAAAAGCCAAGATCTTCCACGGAGCCAGCGCCTGGTATTGGCACAACCATGCTGGATAAAGGCTCCCCGAAAGCGCTCTGGTTGGCACAAGTTATCCGGCAATGCGCCTTCACCCTGCGGATCGCAGCCTTGTTCCGAAGCGCTCTCTCCATGTTCAGTATGACCGTCATCCACTCCCCCTTGTAGTAGGCTTCCACCGCAGTGTCGAACAGCAGATCATACGGTTCCATAATAACATTACTACTGAGCTGCACGTCCGAAAGACAATACGGGATGAGGCAAACGCATAAAATCGCCACAACTAAACGCCACTGCATTCTGGAAAATGGGACCTTTAGGTGGAAAGGAGCAGTCGTCTGCAGACAAGGGAGCTGGAAGTTTAGCCGGGGCCTGCAAACTTCTGTCGGGGGGTGGAGTTAACCGGGAGCGGCTGAGCTGAACAGCCCCTGTGAGGTGCGCCACCGTCCCAGGACGCATAGTGCCGCTGTGGCCCCGTTCACTCTCTCATCACAGGCCGGCCATACATTTACATTTACATCATTTAGCAGACGGATTACTTTATACTATTCCAGGTATTCCTTAAAGAGGTAGGGTTTCAAGTGTCTCCGGAAGGCCATACAACATCAAGGTTCAATATAAAAATTATCAATAAGTATATAGGTCATATTAAATTGTTAAATTGTCTATTAGAGTATGATAACATCCCAGAAAAAATATGGGTAAAATGTGTCTCATAAATCATTTTTCTAAGATGTTATCACACTCTAAATAGCCTAGTCCATTTAACAATAGACCAACCAAGAGCTCTCTGGTATTAACAAAACATATTTGGGGACAGCAGGTGTTACAAAGGTTCTGGTGTCAGATCATGAGCATTTTCTCTGAGACACATAATATATAGTAAATACAGTAAGCTTCATTATATAGTTAGAGGACTCCTGATATCTCCAGGAGTGATACGTATAATTTATGTATTTATCTGTTGTTGTCTAATACTGTCTTTTTGCTAGCTAGGGACATCTACTATTTTGTGCAGTGTGACTGACCCACCACCAAAACGAATGTTGCTGGCCAGGACTCAGAACCAAATCTGTCACTATACACCTATGGGTCCCAATGAATCATTTGAAGACAGTGGCCGTGTCTGAAAGGACCTCAGCCACCCGAGCCACGGCCTGTTCACCCCGCTACCATCTAGAAGGCAGACACAGTACAGGTGCATCAAAGCTGGGACCGAGAGACTGAAAAACTGCTTCTATCTCCAGGCCATCAGACTGTTAAATAGTCACCACTAGCCAGCCTCTGCCCAGTACCCTGCCCTGAACCTTAGTCACTGTTACTAGCCAGATATCACCCGGTACTCTACCCTGCACCTTAGACTGCTGCCCAATGTACATAGTCATTGAACACTGGTCACTTTAATAATGTTTACATACTGTTTTAACCACTTCATATATACAGTGCATTCGGAAAGTATTCAGACCCCTTTTCCACATTTTGTTACGTTAATGGTGGGTCGCGACGTGTCAGAGTAAATGTATAATTATTTCATTAATTAGTTGAATTGATTTGGCCAAGTGCATCTGCGCACTCTATTCAGTGCGCTCTCTGCTTAGCAGCGGTCTCTGTTCAGTTTGGCAGCTGCGCGAGTGGGAGAGGGAGATGCCCGTGGGCTTCGCGGTTAACAGGATATCTTTCCCGCAGTTTTCTTGAAGATCACTCCGCGACACACACGATGTAGCGCTGTCGTTCAGCAGCAGATGATTCGCTGTCAGCCAATGACTTGTCATTCCCACTCGCCAGAACTAACCGCTGTCATCAAATGGACTCATGCTAGCCACAAGTTCTGACTGTTCTTTGATGTTATTACCCTTTACCTCAAGTCAGTATATCCTGTCCATCACTCATTCTAAAATCAACATCAGTAATCTCCTTTGACATAAGGAATGCAGACTCTGTGGCAGCAAGTCACTTATCCACTAACTCTAACCTTGTTTCCCATAACACTATAAAACCTAATATCAAATAATTTTGAAAGGCACTGTATATAAGGTCCCACAGTTGACAGTGCATGTCAAAACAAAAACCAAGCCATGAGGTTGAAAGAATTGTTCGTAGAGCTCCGAGACAGAATTGTGTCAAGGCACAGATCTGGGAAAGGGTACCAAAAAATGTCTGCAACATTGAAGGTCCCCAAGAACACAGTGGCCTCCATCATTCTTAAATGGAAGAACTTTGGAACCACCAAGACTCTTCCTAGATCTGGCCGCCCGGCCAAACTGAGCAATTGGGGGAGTATGGCCTTGGTCAGGGAGGTGACCAAGAACCCGATGGTCACTCTGACAGAGCTCCAGAGTTCCTCTGTGGAGATGGGAGAACCTTCTAGAAGGACAACCATCTCTGCAGCAATCCACCAATCAGACCTTTATGGTAGAGTGGCCAGACAGAAGCCACTCCTCAGTAAAAAGCACATGACAGCCCGCCTGGAATTTGCCAAAAGGCACCTAAAGGACTCTCAGACCATGAGAAACAAGATTCCCTGGTCTGATGAAACCAAGATTGAACTATTTGGCCTGAATGGAAAGCGTCACGTCTGGAGGAAAACCGGCACCATTCCTACGGTGAAGCATGGTGTTGGCAGCATCATGCTGTGGGAATGTTTCAGCGGCAGGGACTGGGAGACTAGTCAGGATCGAGGGAAAGATGAACAGCGCAAAGTACAGAGAGATCCTTGATGAAAACCTGCTCCAGAGTGCTCAGGACCTCAGACTGGCGCGAAGGTTCACCTTCCAAAAGGACAACGACCCTAAGCACACAGCCAAGACAACGCAGGAGTTGCTTTGAGACAAGTCTCTGAATGTCCTTGAGTGGCCCAGCCAGAGCCCGTACTTGAACCCGATCGAACAACTCTGGAGAGACCTGAAAATAGCTGTTTAGCGACGCTCCCCATCCAACTTGACAGAGCTTGAGAAGATCTGCAGAGAATAATGGGATACATTTGCAAACATTTCTAAAAACCTGTTTTTGCTTTGTCATTATGGGGTATTGTGTGTAGATTGATGAGGGGGGGGAACACTTTAATCCATTTTAGAATAAGGCTGTAACGTAACAGAAAGTGTAAAAAGTCAACAGGTCTGAATACTTTCAGAATGCACTGTATATACTGTATTCTAGTCAAGGCTCATCCTATATAACTACTGCTGTACACACCTTCTCTATTCATATATTGTCCATACTGTCTATCACACCATTATATACATATATACAGTACCAGTCAAACGTTTGGACACACCTACTCATTCAAGGGTATTTCTTTGTTTTTACTATTTTCTACATTGTAGAATAATAGTGAAGACATCAAAACTATGAAATAACACATATGGAATCATGTAGTAATCAAAAAAGTGTTAAACAAATCAAAATATATTTGAGATTTGATATTCTTCAAAGTAGCCACTCTTTGCCTTGATGACAGCTTTGCACACTCTTGGCATTCTCTCAACCAGTTTCATGAGGAATGCTTTTCCAACAGTCTTGAAGGAGTTCCCACATATGCTGAGCACTTATTGGCTGGTTTTCCTTCACTCTGCGGTCCAACTCATCCCAAACCATCTCAATTGGGTTGAATCCGGGTGATTGTGGAAGCCAGGTCATCTGATGCAGCACTCCATCACGCTCCTTCTTGGTCAAATAGCCCTTACGCAGCCTAGAGGTGTGTTTTGGGTCATTGTCCTATTGAAAAACAAATGATAGTCCCACTAAGCGCAAACCAGATGGGATGGCGTATCGCTGCAGAATGCTGTGTTAGCCATGCTGGTTAAGTGTGCCTTAAATAAATCACTGACAGTGTCACCAGCAAAGCACCATCACACCTCCTCCTCTGTTCTTCACGGTGGGAACCACACATGCGGAGATCATCCGTTCACCTACTCTGCGTCTCACAATGACACGGGGGTTGGAACCAAAAACCTCACATTTGGACTCATCAAACCAAAGTACAGATTTCCACCGGTCTAATTTCAATTGCTTGTGTTTCTTGGCCCAAGCAAGTCTCTTCTTCTTATTGGTGTCCTTTAGTAGTGGTTTCTTTGCAGCAATTAGACCATGAAGGCCTGATTCACACAGTCTCCTCTGAACAGTGGATGTTGAGATGTGTCTGTTACTTGAACTCTGAAGCATTTATTTGGGCTGCAATCTGAGGTGCAGTTAATTCTAATGAACTTAGCCTCTGCAGCAGAAGTAACTCTGGGTCTTCCTTTCCTGTGGCGGTCCTCATGAGAGCCTGTTTCATCATAGCGCTTGATGGTTTTTGTTACTGCACTTGAAGAAACGTTCAAAGTTCTTGAAATGTTCCGTATTGACTGACCTTCATGTCTTAAAGTAATGATGGACTGTGGTTTCTCTTTGTTTATTTGAGCTGTTCTTGCTAATATGGACATGGTCTTTTACCAAATAGGACTATCTTCTGTATACCACCCCTACCTTGTCACAACGCAAGTGATTGCCTCAAACGCATTAAGAAGGAAAGAAATTCCACAAATTAACATTTAACAAGGCACACCTGTTAATTGAAATGCATTCCAGGTGACTACCTCATGGAGCTGGTTGAGAGAATGCCAAGAGTGTGCAAAGCTGTCATCAAGGCAAAGGGTGGCTACTAAGAAGAATGTCAAATATAAAATATATTTTGATTTGTTTAACACTTTTTTGGATACTACAGTCGTGGTCAAAAGTTTTGAGAATGACACAAATACTAATTTTCACATAGTCTGCTGCCTCAGTTTTGATGATGGCAATTTGCATATACTCCAGAATGTCATGAAGAGTGATCAGATTAATTGCAATTAATTGCAAAGTTCCTCTTCGCCATGAAAACTAACTTAATCCCAAAGAAACATTTCCACTGCATTTCAGCTCTGCCACAAAAGGACCAGCTGCCATCATGTCATTGATTCTCTCGTTAACACAGGTGAGAGTGTTGATGAGGACACGGCTGGAGATCACTCTGTCATGCTGATTGAGTTAGAATAACAGACTGGAAGCTTTAAAAGGAGGGTGGTGCTTGAAATCATTGTTCTTCCTCTGTTAACAATGGTTACCTGCAAGGAAACACGTGCCGTCATCATTGCTTTGCACAAAAAGGGCTTCACAGGCAAGGATAATGCTGCTAGTAAGATTGCACCTAAATCAACCATTTATTGGATCATCAAGAACTTCAAGGAGAGAGGTTCAATTGTTGTGAAGAAGGTGTCAGGGCGCCCAAGAAAGTCCAGCAAGCGCCAGGACCGTCTCCTAAAGTTGATTCAGCTGCGGGATTGGGGCACCACCAGTGCAGAGCTTGCTCAGGAATGGCAGCAGTCAGATGTGAGTGCATCTGCACGCACAGTGAGGCAAAGACTTTTG